TCCAGCCCGGACTCGGAGCGTTTGCAGAGCCTGGGCGATGTGGACAGCGGCCACAGCACGGCGCATTCGCCCAACGATTTCAAGAGCATGTCGCCGCAGATCACGTCGCCGGTGTCGCAGTCGCCCTTTCCGCCGGTCTTTGGCGGCGTGCCCTTCGGCCAGCTGGAGATGCTGGAGGCGACACACCGAGGACTGCACAAGTTTGTGCCGCGACACCATGACGAGATCGAGCTGGAGATCGGCGATGCCATCTATGTGCAAAAGGAGGCCGAGGACTTGTGGTGCGAGGGCGTCAATTTGCGCACCGGCCGCCAGGGCATCTTTCCCTCGGCCTATGCCGTCGACTTGGACTACAACGAGTTCGATCCGACCGTGCAGCTGGTCAAGAAGGAGCGCTACCTGTTGGGCTACCTGGGTTCCGTTGAGACACTCGCCCACAAGGGCACCGGCGTCGTTTGCCAGGCGGTCCGCAAAATAGTCGGCGAATACGGCAACTCGCCCACGGGACAAACGTGCATTCTGGAGGTATCCGATCAGGGCTTGCGCATGGTCGATCGCTCGGCGCCGAACGTAAGTCGCGACGTTGCCATATATATACTCTAGAGTCTTGCACAAATCTATTTCAAATGGCATTCGTGATTTGATTGAAATGAAAATCTTCTTGCTTTTAAACGAATGTAACTTGGTATCACTATTTCGAATTGAAATCCCGATTTATAGTCGGCGGCTCAAACCATTGAGTATTGTGTTTGAGTTGAGCAGAGGGGATGTATATATATTCGAAAGTAATTCCAACTACTTGCGAGTAGCGGGTTAATTCGAAAGACTGCTCGCCTTTATTGCTTCTTCTTTCAGCTACTTGTTTGTTTTCGTTGGGTTTGTTCAATTCGAGCGGGCATCCAACGAAACGAAGCTTGAAACGAAACTGAACGAAGACAACTTAACTAATTTCTTCGGTATTCAAAGAAAACGTTTTAAAATGATTGCTAGCAAATGTATTCGTGCAAAACTCTAAATAGACTATACATTTCTCAAGTTCTCTTTCATACTCTTTGCAACAGAACAAAAAGGAGAAGAAGCCCTGCATCGATTACTTCTACTCGCTGAAGAACGTCTCATTCTGCGCCTTTCATCCACGCGATCATCGCTTCATTGGCTTCATCACAAAGCATCCGACAGTGCAGCGATTCGCCTGTCACGTCTTCAAGGGCAACGAGTCGACCAGGCCCGTTGCCGAGGCTGTCGGGTAAGCTAACCCAAAATAAAACACATCTATGATCCTTACTCAAATGCATTCAATTTCTCGCAGTCGCGCCTTTCAGCGTTTCTATCAGAAGTTTATCGAGACGGCTTATCCCATCGAGGACATCTACATTGAGTAGAGAGAGCGCGATCGCGATGCTTTAAAGGAGAAGCAAAAAACGATACTTAAAATACCATATATAGTCTATATTTTTTGTGTGATTATTAATATAAATCAACAAAATTGTTTGGTCTTCGTCAAAAAGCTACAAAATCACACACACACACACAAACAAACACAAAGTGAAAAACCTTAAAACCTTTCAAATAATATCATGCAATAATAATTAAATGGAAAAAAAAGAAGATATCTTAGCTCTATCTAAACTCTACCGGATAACTCTCCCGTCATATTTGTTCGCGAAATTCTTCAAACTGTAAATAATTCATTTTGGTTCGTAAAAAGCACAGACAAAAACGAAATACACAAAAAGAACACAGCGATTAGACAATTTAAGTGTAACTTAGAGAGAGAGAACCGCTAAAAATTCAATTAAAAAACAAATATAATTAAAACGTGACTTCTATAGCAATATCGGAATATATATCCATGCACAAACCAGATGATAAGCTGTGCTCCATCAACTTTTCGCGTCAAATGGAGTTGGCAAACGAAATAAATACCCTAACAAAAAAAAAACAAACAATAAACCATGCATTACACTCAGAGAAAAAGTCCGGCAACTTTTAAGTACAAACCAAAAATTTCTGAAACCTGTTTCGAGTTTTTTTTTTAACTGTAAGTACGAATTTTTTATTTATTTACTTAAATTGAAAATAGTTATATTAAGGATTTCGCAGGTCAGTTAATTTAATTTAATTTAATTTAAGTATAAGCAAAATCTTGTAAGGCTTCTTAACTTTTTTTTTAACAATTTTTTTTTGTATTAAAATCCAACAGAATTTTAAAATATTTAAGAAAAAATATTCTGTAGGTAAACTTACAGATTCTTTGAAGAGAATGTTTGACTTGAGTACAGAGTTTTTCTCTGAGTGTACTGCCTGTGTGGCCAAAGTAGTCTAAGCCTTGAGCTATCAAGATAATATCTCATCTGGCTCTTGTGCAAGTGTTATAAGCTATATATATATGTCAGTTTATGATTTCTACAGAAGTTCATTTAAACAAGGCTCACCCCACACGCAAATTTTCTAGTATTACCTATTATTGAAGGCCCAGTTCTAAGATGTGTAAAACAATTATATATAAAGACGAATATATATGTACTTATACAGAAAACAAAAGGAAATATATATATATATATATAAAATCAGATTATGTTATGTATGCTGATATGAATTGTAACCAGTCGGGACTGCCCGACTAGGAGATACCCTGAACCTAGAGTCTGGATATAGTCTAACCGTTTCTTTCTATACATATGCAAAAATAGGACAGTCTTGATTTACTCCCGTGTTTATAGTCCGATCTTTATCAAATTTACATATATACCAAAGCGCAAGACTTTAATACGATTAAGAGACATCTAATCGGTTATAAATGAAAATGTAAATTTCTACTCAGATCGAAAAAAAAGCAAGGGATTACATCACGTTTTCTTAAAAGTCAAAAGTTTTCTGTTTATCTCTTTGGAATATCTCCGATTAATAACGTCTGATATTGGGTTTTTATACCTTTTTTGGCATTCAATTAAATAAAAAAAAAGTCGACAGGTAACATCAAAGTTGTTTTCCAAAAAACGATTCGTTTGTAAAGTCAACCCTTTTTGTTGATTTAATGGAATATTTCGGCCAAATAATGTCCAATTTTCGAATGATATACCGTTTTTGACTCGCAAGGATCAGTATTATCGGTTGCCATCAAAAAAATGAAAATCAAAATTTTGACCCAAATCGGCAAAAAAAAGTAAGGGATAACATCACGTTTTTTCTCAAAATCGACATCGTTTCGAAAATCAAAACTTTTTCCATGATTTTTTTTGAAATGTTATACATTTTTAAATTCGTACGGATCCCTACTATTAATTGACATTCAAGCAAAGTTAAAATCTGCTTAAAACCATTTATTGACCAAAAAACGCTTCGATTGTATCAACATTTTTTTTAATGTTTTTTTTTTCGGAATATCTCGGCCAAATAATGGCAGATTGTGGATAATATATCATTTTTGGCTCGATTGGCATAAAAAAAATGAAAATCTAAATAATGACGTGAGACGCCAACTTTGACATTTTTTTTTCGAATATCTCGGATAAATTTCGTCCTGACGAGTCCTGTGTCCAACACCTCGAACGGACAAGGACTATAATCTGGCTAAATCAATGTTGTTCTTATGGCTTGTGCGAAACGGGTATTCCCCTTTTTAAAGGACACTAAGTTGACCACCTTAAGGACGATTCTGATGTCCTTTAGACAACTTGTAATGCTTGTCCCGCTTACTTAGAATTTGTATTCAAAAGGACGAAAATCCTTAAAGGAGCTGAGGAAAAACGATTTTTTTCTATAGAGATAAAAGGCTGTAGATCGGCTGTATCCTTGCTGATCATGATGTCCATTTGCCTACCGTTAGTCCTCATCCTCCCAATTCAGAATATATAATAAAAAGGACGAAAGTCCTTCAGATAGCATAGATATGAGTACAATTCTTTCAAAAATTAACAAAGCCATAACTCGGCCTTATCCTTGCAGATCCTGACAAGTCCTGTGGCAAACAAAGCGTATGGACAAGGACCATAAACTGTCCAAAGGACAACCAAATCGTCCTTGCCGTTTCCAAGATATGGCCTATTTTCTAAAAAGGACATTTTTTAAATAGCCATAACTCGGCCAAATCCTGAAGGATATCGAAAGGATATATCGTTTTGGACTCGTGAGGAGCAGGACTATCGATTGGCATTCAAGGATTTCCAGGATTCGACAAAAAATTTCATCGAAATTTATCCTAGGGGGTAAGTCGCAAAATTGGCCAAAATCGAAAAATTCCGGGCTAACTTGGCCATTTGAAGGACTATCGGGATGTCCTTTGGCCAGTAGATAGTCCTAGCCTTCCCATTAGAGAATTTACAACCCAAAGGACGAAAGTCCTTCAGACAAAAATGTTTTAAGGACAATTTTGGTTGAAGAAAATAAGCCATAACTCAAGCATATCCTTGCGTATCCTGGCGAGTCATGTGTCAAAATAATTGTGCTGGCTAGGACTACCACCTGGCCAAATTTCATTAAGATCGTCCTTGTAGTTTTAGAGATATTCAAGGATTTGTGTTTTCGGGTAATTTCCATGCGCCCCGGGGCTGAAATTTTACAAGTCCAATTTCGAGTCATATGATTCTTAGATGACCCCATATTTTTTTGATTCAGATCGATGCAGGGGGTCTATAGGATCCTAACGCACCATGTCCATGTCCTGAAAATCTGCAAGGACATGCCCGAGTTATGGCCTATTTTCCACTTTTATATAGTTATCTATATTTTTAATTAAAATGTGTTTTTATCATTTCAGATTGCCAAATTAAGGATTAAAAGGATCTCTAAGGACCTCCACGACTGACAAAACTGATTTTTCCAGGATCGGACTTAAATAAAGCCAGATATAGTTATTTTATGTTTCAACAAGCTAAAATTATAATTTATTGTCGATTTGTATAATTTTTAGAAAAATAATTAAGAAAATTGGCATAAAAACAACAATTTTGTATATTTAAAACATAAATAAATCAATTATTTCAAATAAAACAAGAAATTCCCGTTTTTTGATTAAAATCCATTGCATACCCCCAGGGGCATCTGCTGGCAACCGCTGGCTGCCGAGATTTTTCTTAAAATTTCCGAAAAATACCAGGCGAACAGAAATGCCCAGAAGGTCGATGCACAATATTTTTGCGGCCGAAAAAAAAAATCATTGCATACCCTCACGGGGCGCCCTGGTCAGCGGCTTCGCCCCAAATTTGCCCTAAAATTCCACTCAGATACCAGGCGAACATAAATGCCCAGAAGGTCGATGAGTGGTTTGAATAAAAATTTTCATTGCATAGCATAAAGGGGCAAAAATGTAACTCAATTAAAATGAGTGCTGTTAAGTAGCATTTTCTGTTAAATGAGCACTGTAAGCCGGCTGTTAAACAACAGCTGCAGCTGAAGCTAATGAAAAAGGGCTCCTGAAAGAAAAAGCATACATATTTTTGGACCATTTCAATGCAAATTTTGCAGTGATCAGATCCTTTAGGTTCCAAAGGACTATATCGATGGTATGGTATAACCAAGGATATGCTAGTCAACTAGAAACCATCCAGGGAGCGGGACTGTTGCTGCGGGCGGCTGTAAAAGAAGAGCATACATATTTTTGGACCCCGTTTTGCGAGAACTTGGTCCTTTAGGTTCGCTAAGACTACATCCATGATATGGAATAACCAAGGATATATATTGGTCAACTAGGTACCATTATTATCGATCATTTGCTGATTAAATGTTGTCCATGTCCAATAAAACGTTCCTTGGCCTTAAGCCAGAGGGGCTGGGCGATGGCCAGCGATTCGGCGAGTATTATTAGCCAGAAGGTGTCGATAATGGCGCCGCTGGCAAAGATTAGCTGATCCACCAGCAGGATGAGCATATAGATAATCGTGCCCAGACGAATTCCGAGCAGAAAACGATTGATCAGAAAACACAGTACCACATTAGGCCCCGAGAAGATGGAATAGATAAGCGTAAACTGTTTCCTCCGATCTTGTCCATGAACGTCGGCAGACTTGGCTGTAAAATATAAAATGGAAAATATATTGGTTTTTGTATACGTCCGACTTTGGAGAGGCGTACCTTTAAGGATTCGCGAGTCTTTAAATTCCACACAAATTGGCAACAATTTTGTTATAACCATTGCCATTTTAGTCAAAATTTAAATACGATTTTATATAAAGTATATCCATTGCATGAAATAATCAAAGTCATCCGGGTACCAACGTTAGGGAATGTTTTCCTCCTCCCGGCAGATTTAGCTGCGAAATTCAAAATAGAAAATTAATAAGTATTTTGTAAACTTTTTGAAAAGACATACCTTTTAGGATTGGAGAGTCTTTGAAATCGACGAAAGTCTATAAAATGTTGGTTTGATCGACGCAGATAGAAAGCAAAGTTCCAATTTGGAAGAAAATTGAGTACGTTTTTTTAGAGTTAGAGTTTTATGTTAATTTCTGAACCGAAATAATTAAGCAACCACTTTGATGTCACCTCAGAAGGCGATTTTATAACATGCGAATTGATAATCCCGATGCGAACGATGTTAACTCAAGAATTCTGCCTTTTAACATTATCAAAGAGTTTCACTCAACTACCGGCGCACAGAAAACTGAGCAAGCAATCCACAAACTCGAGTGAGTTCACGCACAAGCAAGCATAAGTGGACATGAATTGCAAAAACACACACACACAAAGATATGAGAAAGAAGAGAGAATCAGCAAATGTATGCATACGTATGTATGTATGTACGTATGTTTATATGTGCGGCTGTGCATTATCTTCTCACACTCTCACGAATTTTTTACGAAGGGGAAAATATGATAAAATAAGCACTTAAACATTTGTGAAAGTCTATAAAATCGATGGACTTCTTTAATTTACGATTGCATTTTCGTCAAACCTTAGAATACAATTTTTTATGGCTTTTAATACTTCCGAGACGTACAAGTAAAAAGGTGTACACACATCACATGTGTATATAATTGATTGTAAATTATTAAAGAACCACTCGATGGACTTCTTTAGCTTTTGGTTTTACGAGTTTCTACGGCTATTAATACTTCCGACCCGATTGGAATTTACTTGATAATTTGCACTTGTAATTTTATTAAAACAGCTTTACACAGAAGCCTGTTGCGCGGACGCAAAGTGAACAAAAGTCGGCGCACAGAAACTCGAGCAAGCGGCGTTCAGAGCTAGATAACGCATAGGAAAGCACACACAAGCATGCATAGGTAGACATGAATTGCAAGAACACACACTCGCACATATGCAGAAGAAGAAGAAGAAGAGAGAGAATCGCCAAATGTGTACGTACAAATGTATGTATATATGATTGCTTGTGCATTATCTGCTCGCATTCTCACGAAATTTTTGCAAAGGAGACTAATTACAATAAAACAAGCACTTTAAAATTGAAAAGTCTATAAAATCGGTGGACTTCTTCGCATTTTGAATTCACTTTTGTTAAACTTTAGAATACGACTCTTTTTAATGGCTACTTAGACTTTTCACTCTTACAAGTCCAAATATGTACTTGCATATGTATGTATGTGTATATGATTGCTTGTGCATTTCCTTCTGATATTGCGAAATTACAATTAAATAATCACTTGAACATTCTTGAGTCCGAAATTAGCCAGACCATTAGACATACGGCTGGCCTTTACTTGAGAATTTTCACTTATAACTCTTTTAAAACAGATTTACTCGACTCGACTGCTGCCGTTTAACTAAAGCAGAATCATGCGGACAAAAGTCGGCGCACAGCAACTCGAGTAAGCGCCGATCAAAGGTAGATAACGACACATCCAAGCATAAGTAGATATCAATTGCGAGAGCACACACACAAGCATATGTCTGAAGAGCGAATTGCCAAATATGTACACACAGTTGTCTGTGTATATTTGCATTATCTTCTCATCTTCTTTTTCATAGTGCTCTCAGAAGTGAGCAAAAAATTAACATTTATGAAAGTCTATAAAATCGATGCACTTCTTTAAACTTTGATATTATAATTTTTTTAATGCATATTAATACTTCCGATCCGTAACGTACACCATGAGAATTTTTACTTACATTCACTCGACTGCTGCCGTTTAACTAAAACAGAATCATCTTGCGCGGACGCAGAGTAGATAAAAGTCGGCGCACAGCAACTGGAGTAAGCGGGAGTCTGCTCAAAGGTAGATAACGCACAAGCACACATAAATAGATATCAATTGCGCGAACATACACACAAACATATGTATGCAGCGAGAATCGTCAAATATGTGCATGCGTATGTGTATGCTTGTATTATTTTCTTATCTTCTTGTTCATCGCGCTCCCATGACTTTTTTGCTAGGTAAGGAGAAAATTACAATAAAATAAACACTTTAACATTCGATGGGCTTCTTCAGATTTTAATTTGACGGTTTTTTCGTTGGCTTTTATTACTTCCGCAATTAGAGATATGAATGGCATTTGCTTGAAAATTTGCACTTATAATTCTTTTAAAACAGCTTTACTCGACTGGTGCCGTTTAACTTAGACAAAATCACGCAAAGTGGACAAAAGTCGGCGCACAGCAACTCGAGTAAGCGACGTTCAAAGGTAAATAACGCACAGGCAATTATACACAAGCAAGCATAAGTAATTGTCAATTGCAAAAAACACTTACCCAAACATACATAACTATGCAGAGGGAATCGCCGAATATGCACGTGCGTATGTGTATTTGCGTGCTAGGGCCTTATCTACTAATGCATCGCATTCACAAAACAATAACGGGCTCAATAGATTAACGCGCGCGCAGCTAAACAACACCATGCCCTGTTGACTAATAGGGCCACACTGACTCAGACTAAAGTTGCGCAGATCCACAAAAGCGTCGCTCACAAAAAAAAAAAACACTCGAGCAAGCAGACGAGAACTTCGCTGCCAGCAGCTATTGATTGGACCAATCAGCGATCAGCAGCGAAAAAAGTCGTGAGCGCGTGAGCGCAAGACGAAAAATGTACAGCGAACACACACACGCACGGCTGACGGCTTATCTCAGGCTTTGGCTCATCTCTGCGTATGCACGTGTTTGTGTGCGTGTGTATGCTCTAGTTTACACTCGAGTTTTGATCGCCTGCTGATTTTCTGTGCGCCGGTCCGCTTGAGTCACTCACAAAATTAACACTCTGTTATATTTCTATTAGGAGCTGCTGACCCGGGGGATTCTGTAAGGGTGTTATTTAACAGGGGCTTTCTTAAGAATTCGATCAAACAAAATGGGACAATTTTACTCACTTTTTTTTTTAATATCTTGGCCAAATAATGTTCGATTTTAAAATGATATACCATTTTTGACTCGTACGAATCAGTATTATCAATTGGCATTAAAAAAATTAATATCTAAATTTTGAGCCAAATCAACTAAAAAAGCAAGGGGTTACGTCACTTTTTTTTGACTCAAAATCGGGGCTGGTTCGCAAATCAGAACTTTTATGATGATTTGTTTCTTGGGTAAATAAGAACTGATTTTGGAATGTTATAACCTTTTTTAAATTTGTACGGTTCCCTTTTATAAATTGGCTTTCAATTAAATGAAAAATAGAGGCGTTCGATTAAATTTTACGACCAGACACGATCCGGATGTAAAGTCAAACTATTTTCATGATTTCTTCGAATATCTCGGCCAAAATAATCTCCAAATATGGAATGATACACCATTTTGGACTTGTAAGGATTGGCCTTCAAAACAAAACACTATAAATTTTGATTAAATTTGAGAAAAAAGCAAGGGCTTACATCACGTTATTTCCAGAAATGGGTTCGTTTCAAATCCATGTCAGATTAGGCTGCAAAGTTCAAAATAAAAAATGAATTAGTATTTTGTAGGTTTTGATTGACATCAAAGTTTTTGACAAATAATAATTCGTGTTTACTCAGATCTTTTGACGAGATTCCATAAACCAAGTTTTGGGTATTCGGCTGGAAAATTCTTCCAGTTTTATAACTTATCTGCAAATCGATATTTATCGATAGTATGAAAGGACGAGGATACCAAGAGATAAAATGTATTTGGTATGTAGTAAGGTTAAGTAAAAGATATTTTCGTTTTAATAATTTATGTATAATTTCTTCTATATTTTCATATTTATAATACAACTTAGCTTTACTAGTTGGTTGGTTGTTTTGTTTGTTTGTTTGTTTGTTGGTTTTATTTTTACAGCATTATCCTTTTTACATATACTATATCGAAGTGTAGAAATCATGTTCATAATTATTTAACATACAAAAAAAGTTGGTTGCTTTTTGTTTTGTTTGTTTGTGTTGTTTTTTATGTATATATTTATATATTTAGTATGTTACACAATACTTATATATTTGGATTTACTAGGCATGTGTGCTTAGATTGTTCGTATATACTTATATAACACCTACCTGAACCGACAATTCTAGAATTGTTGTTACCCATTGTCAAACTAGATGCACGTCTAGCCCTAATACTAAGCCCTAGCACTATATATTTCCCTATGTAGCCCTACGTACTTACAGCCTAACTGTTGCCACCTGCTCAACACCTATATCATAGCAATAATAATAATGTAATAATAATAATCATAATAATATAATAATAATTTCATTAGTAATACTTATTGTTTTCCTAGTTTGCTTATAAATCTATTCTTGATGTGTTTTTTGCTTAAGAAACGTTTTCTTCTTTTTTTTTTTTCAATTTTAGGCATATTTAAGAGGTTGCTCGACTTATTTTCAAGTATTTATTTGTTTAAAGTTTCGGTTCCTTAGTTAATTATATATATATATTTATATATAATGCTAATCTTGTGCTAATGCTAACTTGATGCAAAAACTTGGTCTGGCTGTCTCGAAAACTTATGGAGAAGGCAACTGAAGAACTAGACGATCTCCTCTGTCCAAAACTCTATTTAGTAACAAGTTCAAAGTATATTGCTTCATTTGTACAAAACGGCACCAAAAATATCGTGTCCTTACTTCTTAATTGGATTTCGGGTTAATCCCCAACCCAATCTAACTTTGTAACTAGGTTTCGTTTTTAACGCAAACTGTTCCGGATTATGATTTCTTTAACTGTGTTGTTATCTTTGCTTTTAATTGACAAATCGTTTTGAAGGATTTCTGGTCGAGTTTACCCACATTTTTTTGCCAACTTGAGAAATTATCGGATCATGCTATCATACTGGATTGTTATATAGTCAAGTGTCGGAAAAGTAATCGGGTTTGTGCGGCGTTTTTTTAAGTGTAATTGGATTTTAGTTTCATGTTTTTGTTTTTTAAATAAGGCTTTGTTTTTTGTTTTATTTAAATTTTTGCTAAAAACTACAATTTAAAATTAATAATCAGTATTAATTAATAATTAGGTTAGAACGTAATAATAATTTAAAAAACATTTCTCGCACTCGCACTCGCACACACACACACACACACACACACACACACGTACACGCGCACAAACACACACAATTATATACAGTTTATACGTAAATCTTGCAACTCCCAAATATTTCTAAAAATTACAATTTTTTTTTTATTTTGCTCTGAATATAATTGGAATATATTTTTTTGTATATTTACTTTTTCTCTATGTTTAATAGTTTGTCGTGTTAAATTAACTCTGAATTTGGCTTCATATATAAATACATATACATATATATATATATATATATATATGTATATATGGTAGACATTTGCTCGATGTGCTTGAAATTTTTTTGGATTGGGTTTTGAAAAAAAAATTGTCGTTTTATATTGAGGCATTTGTCGTCTGGAACTGGAATGCGCAGCACATCGGGCATTGTCTGAAAATCTATATAATATATATATACATATATATATATATAGATATATTTATATACAATATGATCGTGTGTGCTTTTGACTTGTCTTTAGAAAATGTGTTTTGCAATTTCGAAAATTGAATATAAAACAATAACCATAAAATAATTTCCAACTGCTTTTTTTCTCAATGTTTTTTGTTTTCTTGGAGTTTCGACACGTTTACGCTTAGACGCTAAAAATACAAACATTTCCACACGTTTTGGGAATTACAATTCAAAAGTAATTTTTGTTTTAATTTCTAGGTTATGTTGCTGTTCGCTTTTTATATATGCACTTAGTTGCGGCCACGCCCCCCTCCCCGCACTTTGGGGGCAGCCGACTTTGATTTTCGCTAAGAACTACAATTAATGACTACAGGCTACAACTTTAAGTGTTTTTTTTCTCTTTTTTTGCTCTTTTTTCCGATTTTTTTTTCGATTTTTTTTTGTCGATTTTCTTCAGTTTTCATTTTTTTAAACAAATTTTCTGCTACGTTTTGTGGTTTCTATTATGTTGCAGTTCGCATTTGTTGTTTGTCATTAGTTTTTTTAAATAATTATTTTAATAAATAATTAAAATATATATATATATGTGTATATATATATTTATATATTTTAGCTTTTATGAGTAGGTATTTTTTATGGAAGTGGGTTAACTAGAACTAGAAAACCGAGCATTTTCTTTTCTCCTTTCTCTCTTTTTACTCTCTGATATTTAGGCTAAACATAATTGCGAATTCCGTTTGTTGTTTAACTTTAATACAGTATTTTACATAGAGGCTAGTCTACAGTTCTATTTATATATATATATATATATATATATATATGTGTGTATATATATAAAATTCGCTTTAAAATGTACAATTACGATTTAGTATTTGTTATATAGTGTATATATATAGTATATAGTACTATATAGTTAATATCTGGTGTGTGCACAACAAAAACGGGACAAAAGTGGGGTTATGCTTCGCTTTTTATAGGTTAGGTTTCGGTTTCGGTTTTTATAGGTTAGGTTTTGATTTTTATAGGTTAGATTTAACTTTTTTTTTTGTAGATTAGGTTTTTTTGCACTTACAAGCTAACTGTACAAGGTCGGGTGGTGTGTGCTTTGCTTTACAAAATCTTCTCAAAGTGGGGCAGGAAAATTGGGTTGTGCTTGTAGAAAATGTTTTACACTGAGTTATCGATTTGGGATTTGCATTTAGTTTTTAGGACACTTTGTTGCTGCTGGAAGTGAACGAACTCTGTATCGTTTCTCTCTTTCTATATCTATATATATGTACGTATATATAGCTTGGTCGTGGGCTGGCTTTATGATTATCATCTAACCTCACAGTCTTTTTTCAATGGAAGTAAAGCTCCGCCGCCGCGGCTGTTGTTGTTGTTGTTACCATTGTTGTTGTTATTGTTATTGTTGTTGTTGTTGTTGTTATTGTTCGAATTGCTGTTGCAGGAATTGCTGGAGCCGGAGCCGCTGGCTGAAGGCAAGGAGTTATTGCTATTATCATAGTTGCCCACATTGACGCACAGCGGCGAGCTCGAGCTTAGAGCAGCTCCCACCACAGCAACCGCTGCAACAGCTGCTCCTGATCCGCCTCCTGCTCCTACTCCTGCTCCTGGTCCTGCTCCCCCACTCTCCGGTAAGGAGGTGGAATCGTGCACATCGGCACTCTTGCTGGAATCGATGATCAAGCAGGGCGGCGAGGGCGTGCTCGCATCCTTGCCGAGCAACGCCGGCGACGCATTCGCGTTCTGCGAGTGCGGTGTAAAGCTGCTGTTGTTGGTCAGCGGCGAGGCGGCGACCAATGGCAGTTCCGCAGGGGAGCTCGCGGGCGCTGGAGCGGGCGCCGGCTCCTTGGCGATCTCCTTGGTCTCAGTTTTGGCACCTATGACATAGACGCCGCCAGCGGATATGCGTGCGATCTTCAGGCGCAACGGCGCCTCCATCTGCTGCTGCTGCTGCTGCTGCTCCGGCTTCTCCTGCTGCTGCTTCTCCTGCTGCGGCTTATCCTGTTGCTGCTGATCGAGGCTGATCGTGGTCGTTGTCTCCGCCTTTCGCTTGTTGATGCGCAGTATTAGCTTGGGCTTCTCGCCAGGCGAGGCGCTCAGACGGTTCTCGATCAGCGTCGTGGTCATGGTGCTGGTCAGGATGTTGCCACCGCAGCTGTTCAGGCTGAACAACTGTTGCTGCTGCTGCTGTTGTTGCTGGAGCAGCAGCTGCTGCTTGAGCCGCTTCTTCTCCTTCTTGTCCTTCTTGGGCTTGTCCTTTTTGTCCTTCTTCGGCTTGAGAACCTGCTGCTGGCTCTCATTGGCGCCCCCTGCCAGCTCCCGTCTGCTGTTGTTGTCGTCGCCCTTGTCGAAATCCTGCATGACCTTCTTCCGATAGTTCATCGAGTCGCGCTTGATCTCCTCCAGAGTCGGCGTGCTGTAGTTGCTCGTCAGCCGCTTCTTGGGTGGACAGGCTCGTCGCGTCATCTCGTAACTGTAGCTCGTTCCGCTGCCGCCGCTCCGTTCCAGCTCCTGCGCCTCACTGGGCAGCCCGCGTATCTTAATCTTCAGCTTGGGCGCCGTCGCCGCTGCCAGCGCCGCCGCCGCCTGATGGTGATCATCCTCGCTGCTTTCCAGGGTTTTGCTCCGTCCGCGTCGTTTGCCCGCGCTGCTGGCGGCGCCCGTCTTGCCGTTGTCCGTGGCGCTGCCAGAGCTACAGGCGCTGCGTCGCCGGCCATCGCCGGCAGCGGCTCCTGCTGCTCCTCCGGCCGAGGCACCAGCTCCCTCCTCCTGTTCCTCGAGGCAGGCATTGGCCGCGTCCAAAGCGCGCAGCTCCCTGTTGCTCGAGTTCTTCTTGAAGCGCTTCGCATTGCCGCTCGTTGCCGTCGTCGCCGGCTGCTCCTCGTCCAACTTGTCGAGCTTCTCGAGCGGCAGGCTGTCAGAGGCCGCTGGCAGGCCGCAGGAGCTGTCATCGTTCAGCGTATCCTTCTGCACCACATACAGGCTGAGCAGCTCCTTCTTGCGCATGCGTCGCGAATTGCCGCTCACACTGAGCGCAGCCGCCGAGGAGCTGCTGCCCGTGGCAACGCTGCTGGCCGTGACCGTCGTCTGGACCTGCACCTGCGTTTGCACCAGGCTGCTGGCGCCGCCCGCTCCGGTGGACAGCTGGCAGCTCGTTTGCGTCACGCTGCTGCTGTAGTGCAGATCCGGATAGGCCAGAGGTCCCTTGATCTTCAGCTGATTACGTGCATCCGAGAGCGAGGCCTTCGTATTGAGCATCGTTGTTGTATCGGAGTCTATGGAGACCTCCTCCGAGGTGGCCTCCAGCGAAGCTTCCAGCGCTGCGGCGGCAGCTGCAGCGGCGGGCAGCAGTTCCGTGAGAAGCGTGGGCGCCGACTGGTTGGCTTCGCTCGAGTGGAGCAGCGCGCCTTGCAGCAGACTGGGCTGCAGGGATGGGACAGAGACGCCTCCTCCTCCTCCTCCCGCTGTCTTATTCCCATTGTGATTGTTGTTGTTATTGTTGTTGTGATTGTTGCTGTTGCTGCTCGTGGTGCCCGTGGCCCGCAACGCGGACTGGAACTGTCGCTCGTCCTCCTCATCGAATTCGCTGAGTGTCTGATCCGCCGTGCCGGAGTCGAAGGCGCCGAGCAGATTGTTTTGATAGGCCTCCTGGGAGGCGCTGCTGTGGGGCGCCTCGAAGCCCAGATTGTAGGTGCGCATATCGACCGGGCCGGGCAGCACGGGCTGCAGCAGCGGATTAGCCGGCGCGGCGGAGGAAGACGTTGCGGACGATGTCGCGGCGGACGTTGCCGTCGCAGACGTCGTCCCGGCCGCCGTCTTGTTCTGGCCCCGCAGCTTGCAGCTGGCATAGCTGGTGGTGCTGGGCGCCGCGCCCGGCGTGCGCAGCTCGAAGCTGCGCCGGCGATCCCGCAACGACTGCAGATTCTCGACGCCGGAGCCGCTCAGCTCGTCGTCGTAGTTATTGAACTCGTACGGCGTTCCCACCAGATTGTTGACAATGTGCGTGTTGCTGCCATAGTCCGCCATCGGCGGCGGCAGCGGCAGCATCGCGTTGCCCGAGCTGCCGCCCCGGCCTCGACCACGTCCGCGTCCACGTCCGCGCGTGCCCGCTGCACCCGACCCGCTGCTGCTGCCACGTGGCGCACGCTGACGCAGCTTGCCCGCGAGCGTGTGCGTCAGCGGATCGTATTTGGCGGGCGGCGTGGGCGTGGCCGTGGGTACGGTCGATGGCACGGGCAGAGGCGGGGGCGGCTGCAGCGCGGCGACGGCGGCTTGTCTGGGAGATTTTCCCGGGGACTTGCCCGGCGGCAGCTGCGGCGACTTTTTCTGCTGCTCCCGCTTGGCGGAGGCGGAACTGCTGCTGCTGCTGCTGCGTTTGCTGGGCGAGATGAGCTCCTTGCTAGGCACAGGCACAGGCACAGTCAGTGGCAGGGATTGTGGCAGGGATTGCGGCACGGGCACCGGCACAGCCACCGGAACGGGCACCGTCTCCAGTTGCACTGGCTCCAGCTGCTGTTGCTGCTGCTGCTGCTGCTCCAATTGTTGTTGTTGTTGTTGCTGCTGCTGCATAATGGCGGGCAGCAAGGCGGCGGCATATGGTGGCGTCAGCTGGTACTGATGATTTGGCGTTAGCGTCATATTGGGCGTGGCATAGGGAGTGCTTACGTAGGGCGTGCTCGGCTGCGACTGCGAGCTGTTGCCATAGATCGTCTGACTCTCCGCCGGCGTCGACTGCTGCGCCTGGATAATGGCCGCCAGCTGTGGATAGATGCCACCATTATACTGTTGACTGTTGGGCGTGCGCTGCGGCTGCGCCTGCTGATGTGTGGGCGTGGTCGTTGCCTGGACCGGCTGCACTGGCTGTTGCGTCTGGTTGTTGTACATGGACATGGCATCGATGCCATTCACCAGCGGCGTGTGGCTGCCAAAGGCGCCGCTGCCACTGCCACTCCCGCTGCCGGTTCCACTTCCTGCTGCACTGTTGTTGTTGTTGTTGTTGTTGTTGTTGTTGTTGTTGCAGGCTGCAGTTGCTCCAATTCCAGGTGCTCCCGTTCCCGCTCCCGCATAGCTATTAAAGTAGCTCTTGTCCAGGCTAGGCGGCTGATCGTTCGACTCGGACACGGAGCTGGGCGAGCTGCTGCGTCTCGCCGCAATCAAATCATTCTCGTTCCAGCGCTGCATCCGTCCAAAGGGCGACTGCATTCGCGTGTTCTCATCGTAATCGCTCAGCTTGTTGTTATTGTTGTTCGCCTGAGAATTGGTTGCGGCGACCAGGCCGGAGTTCGGCTGGACGGACGGCACAGTGGCGCCTCCAGCTCCTGGATAGCTGCCGAGGCTATTCTTGACAGCTGCCGCCGCCAGATCCACAAAGTCGGGCGTGGATTGCGGCGCTCCAGTTGCACCCATTCCTGCTCCTCCTGCTGCTGCTCCCATTCCTGCTCCTCCTCCTCCTCCTGCTCCCTGGCCATTGCTACTCTTCTGCTGCTGCTGCTGCAGCTGCGGCGAGACGGATGACTTGTTCAGATAACAGCTGAGCGCCGCCTGCGCCGTCTGATAGTTAACCATGCTGCTGTAGCCGCCCAAATTGTTGTTTGCATTCGTTGTGGGCGTGGCATTTGGAGTATTGGTCAAACTGTTGGCATAGCTGCCGCCGGAGTTGGCCGTCAGCGGGGAATCCTTGATGGTCAGCTGGCTGGCCACGGAGTTGGGCGCGGAGCTGCCAAAGAGCACCAGGTTCTGGTGCTGCGCCGCCTGCTGCTGAGCCTGCTGCAGCTCCTTCTGCACGTGTATTACATCCTCGGGATCAGCTGCATTGTGAAACGGAAAGACGGAGGGAATAGCTGGCGTGGGCGGCAACAGATCCATCGTGTCCTTGCACTCATCCAGCTGCGCCTTGCGCTTCGTTTTGCGCAGCTTCTCGACCAGATTTCGCGTGGCCAGCGTGCTGTCCTCCTCGAAGATCTGTTTGCTCCCGCCGCCCACTAGGCTGGTGCCCAGCAGGCTCGTGAGACGTCCCGAGTTGGGCGGATTGAGCACATTGGCGACGCTGCTGGCCAGGCTGGAGGCATAGCTGTTGGCGTACTTGCTGTCCTCCAGCTCCAGGATGGCGTCCACAATCGGCTGATGTGCCGCATCCAGCTCGAGGGCGCTGCACGAAGGCGTCGCGGGAACCGATGGCACCGATGGCACCACTGGCAACAGGGAATCATGCGCCTGCACCTGCTGCGCCTGCTGCACCTGCTGCTGCTCTCCAGAATTCGAGTTCGAGTCCAGCTCAATAATCTCTGGCGGCTCTGGTGGAATAACGGTAACAGCCGGCGAGGATGTGGACGCAGAATATTTGCTCGCATTCGCTAGCAGCTCATTTTTGCGCTCCTCCTCCAGTTCGCGGGCCATTTCCATTTCGTTAAGCAGATGCTGCGTGTGATGCGTATGCTCCTGCTCCTCCTCGTCCTCGTCGCGCGTTCGTCTCCGACGGCGTCGCCAGCGATTGCCGCGACGTCTGTCCGATCGGCTGCGATCGCTGCCCGATCGATCCTCGTCGCTCAGCTCATCGTTGGAGGGCGTCGGCGTCGGCGAGGCGGGCAGCGGCGCCGCCGGCGGTCGCTCATCGATGTCCGCCGAGAGCTCGGCCAATTTGCTGGCATTCGCCGAGAGCTGGGTGTGCGTCGGCGCCGTTGTTAGCTCCTCGTCAATGTCCATCGGCTGCTCGCCGGCCTCCTGCGCCGCGGGCGGCGTTGGACTACGTTGCACCAAACGATCCTCTGCTGCCGGCTCTGGTGGAGGACTTCTTTGCGTCTGAGGAGGCGGCGTCGGTGTGGGCGTGGGCGTTGGCACCCTTGTTATTGTAGGCGTGGTCGTTGCCGTGGTTGCCGTGGATGCCGTGGGCGCAGGCGTGGCATTGTTGAGCTGCTGCTGCTTCTTGTCGAGCAGCTTATCCAGCGCACTGGACGCCCGCCCGCCCGTCGCCGCCTTGCGCTGCGCTATCTCATGCTCCAGATTTGGCGGCGTTTTCTTCGGCGATTCCGCGCGAGATTTACGCCGACTGCTCGTCAGCTTCTCGGGTGTCGGCGCCGGTGCCGGCGAAGGCGGTCGCGATTTGGAATTGCGCGTGGCACGTTTGCTCAGCGCCGGCGACGCATCGTCTAGCGAGGATTTGCGGCGCTGCGTGGAGGCTTTAGGCGGCGCCGGCGGCGTCACAAGCTCCTGGGTGGGCGCAGGAGCTGTCTTTTGCGGCGTTCTCTTTGGCGATTTGTTGGTGGAATTCTGACGCGTTCGGCTGGCCAGCGGGGGAGGAGGAGGCGGTGGAGGAACTGCTGCTGCTGCGGGTTTGTCCAGGGATTTGCGCGGCGAACGCTTTGGCACACTGGAGCTGGAGCTGGAGGTAATTGATGCTCCTGCCGGAGCTGGAGCTGGAGCTGGAGCTGCAGCTGTTGCTGCCTTGCGCTTCTCCGGCTCGCTGTCGCTGTCGGAGTCGCTGCCGCTGCTCGAGTTGCTGCTGGCGCTGCTGCTGGAGTTGCTTTCGCCGGAGCTGGAGCTGTTGCTCTCGCCAGAGCTGGAGCTGGACAGATTGGGCGCTGCAATGCGTCGCTTGACGGGCGTCTGCTCCTCCTTCGAGCGCCGCAGCTGTGAGCCGCGTCGCAAGGGCGTCGTCTGCTGCTGCTGCTTGGATGCAGCTGCTCTGCTTGGAGGCGTCGTCGTCGTCGTCGTCGTAGATGCAGTTGCTCTGCTAGGCGGCGTCGTCGTGTTGGCTGCAGCTGCTCCTGTGCTTGTTCCCGCTGCTGCTCCGACTGCATCCTCGCTGGCAATGGTTTCCTGCGTGGCTTTGGCCAGGGCTGCGCCGCTGCTCTTCAGCTGCTCGGCGGCCTTTTTGGCTGCCTGACGCTGAGGCACATACGAGACGGCAAAGTTGCCCAGTTTGGCCAGCTCATTGTTTTTGGGCGTGACCGCGGGCGTGGGCTTCTCCTTCTCCTTTGGCTTCTCCCGCTCTCGCTCCTTCTCCTGCTCCTTCTCCTTTTCCCGCTCCTTCTCCTTCTCCCTTTCCTTTTCCTTCTCCTTCTCCTTTTGCTGCTTAGGCGGCCGCCCGCGCTTGCCTCGCTCCGCTCGGGCCTCGCCCGTTGTTTTGGCCGCCGCCTTGGGCAGCTCCTTGGGCCGCGTCTTCTCCGCCTCGTCCTTGGCTTTACTGCTGCCGCTGCTGGCGTTGGCATTGGCGGGACTTGGCTCGGGCTCGCGCAGCCGTTCGCTGGCATCCGGCAACAGCGCCGTGGCGAGATTCGTCGAGTTACGCATGTTCTCGGATGCCTTTTTGGCCGCCTGCCGCTGCGGCACGACAAGCAGGTCCACGGGCGGGAAGACGGGCGCAGCGCTCCCCTTGCTGCTGTTCGACTTGGCATTGGCTTTGGATTTGTTTTGCGTTCCAGTTGCTGCAGTTGGAGTTGTGCCCGGCACGAACTCCTTCATGGCCGCCTTGGTGCGTATCGTTTGCTGATTTTGTGAATCGCTCACATTGCTCTCCGTCGCCGCCTGCTCCGCCTCCGTCTCCGTTCGATGGTGCTGCCCTGCCGCCTCGCGCTCCGGCGTCGATGTCGTCGAGCTGTCCGAGTCGGAGTAGATGTGCTGTCCCATCTTGCGCATGGCCGATGTCGCCGTCGCACCCGTCGCAGCCGCCGCAGCAAGATTTCCTGCCGTGGCGCTTGTGTTCCGGCTGTTTGTTGTGCTCCGGGCGTGCTTTACAGGCAGCAGCTCCTCACTTTCATCGCTGGACATGCTGCCCGGCTCCTGCTGCCGCATCTCCTTGTCCATCTGAGCGAGGCCACGCGTAGCCCCAGTGGGCGCTGCGCTGGCTCCTCCCCCATTGCTGGCAGCTTGTTTTCTGCGCGCTGCGCCAGATCCCGCGCCCGTTCCCGCTCCCGTTGGGCGGGCTCCTTCGCTGTGCTTTGACTTAGTTGCTTGGCTTTTGGCAGGTACTGCTGTTGACTTGTGTTGACGTTTGACACGCTCACGCTCACGCTCTCGCTCCCTTTCCCTTTCTCTGGCCCGCGCTCGTGCTCTCGCCCGATCATCGTCGTCGTCGTCGCTGGAGGAACTGCTGCAGCTGGTCCGCGCACCCGCAGACGCTGCAGACGCACACGCAGCCGCCTCACTTTGACGCCGCTGTCGCTGCCTCTGTCGCTGCTCGACGCTGCGCGCATAGGATTGCTTTTTGACTGCTCCCGCAGCTGGCTGGGATTTGTTGCCGTGGTAGCCGCGGCTATCGCTGTTGGATTCGCTGCCGCTGCCGCTGGCGCTGCCGGAGTCGGAGGAGCTGCTGCTGCTGGCGCTGCTGCTGCGCGCCGAGCTGGAATCAGCCGATGACGAGCTGCCGCTAGACGTTGCGGCGGACGCAGCAGCTGTGGATTTATGTGATTTATGCTGTTGGCTCGACGTCGCCGCCGTGGCCGGGCCGCTCTTTGAGGCACGCCTCCCCGCACACGGCATCGCCGTGGACGCCGTTGTCGTCGGCGCCCTTGGCGAGCCACGTGGCTTGGCGGCCTTCTGGGCCAATGTTGTTGCTGTTGTTGTATTTGTTGTTATTGCACCATTGTTGAGCTTCTTTTTAGGCGAGGACTTGAGCGCGGCGGCGGCCGCCTGCTTGCGCTTGTTGGGCGACTGGGAGGCGCGTCCACGTGCCTGCTTCCTGCCCATCAGCTGCTCCAGTATATAGTCCAGGCTCCGATACTGCGCCGGCACAGTTAGCTGATCCGTTGAGCTATAGAAGCTATCGTACAGCGTGGGCCCATCGTTTGCATAGATAATGGCATCCGTATCGAGGGCGGGTCGCTGCGCCTGCTGTGGTTGCTGCTGCTCCGTTGGCACGAGCTGCTGCTGCTGCTGCTGCTGCACTGCCTCGTCGAGCACGCCGAGCTGCTTGTAGAAGACCTGTTCGCGCAGCTTGAACAGCGAGCGGGAGAGCTTCTCACGCCGGCTGACCATGTAGCACAGATTGCGTACACGCTCCAGATCCTGTCGCAAATGCACCACGAGCTTGTGATTCTCCAGATCCTGTTGCTCCTGCTTGCGCGCCAGCATCTCCACGTCCTCAGACTTGGGCGGTATCAGTTCGCGGTTGTGTCGCGACTTGCGCTTCAGTTTCCAATAATTGTAAATGGCCTCGATTGCATCCTCGTCCACATCGAACAGATGGCAGCTAATGTCATTGATATTCACGTGCTTATCGAACTCCGCCTCAACCTCCTGCGGCAATTAAAACATACCAAAATTGTTTATTGTAATTGTATCAAGAAACGCAGCATTCAATTCCAAAAAGAGTCCTGCATCGTTTTATTGCTGTGCATCAAACTCGGCTACTCAATCGAACCGACAGACTCGAACTCCCGAACATCGAGCTCCGACATGTTTGAAGCAACTTCCCAACTTCCTCAAAGCATTCATAACAAACGTAGTTCGATCGGATCAAATCCGCAAATAATTCGGGGTAAAATATAATTTGTTGTACGACATGTTTGCATCAAGGCTCCAATCAGGTTTCATTCGAACTATCTCGAAATTTGGATTATAATTCAATTTTTGAGTCATCGGACGACAAGACGTATATCCGATAAGGCCTCCAATTAGGTTTGAAGCGAACTGTCTTCAACTCAGAGTTATAATTTAACTTTTGAGTCATTGAAATATTCGGGCTATCACGACAAGACGTGTACCCGTAAGGCCTCCAAACAGGTTTGAAGGTAACTCGGAATTATAATTGAACTTTTGAGGGAGTCTCAGCCCCAAAGAATAAATATTTTAAGTCACAATCATTAGATTTATGTAAGCATATTTGGTGGATGCCAGTTTTGGGTGGAATTAAACTTCACTATGAAAATATTTTCACTAGAATGGACACTCGAAAATTTTGAAACTATATGCGATAAAGCTCAACGTGGCTTTGTGGTTGTGAATACCTTGTTCACGAAACGAATTTCTAGGCAGGCAGTCGGATGATTCGAGCTTAAGCTGATATGCTGAACACCACGTAAAGCTGTTGCCAAATATAAAATCGAATTAAGGGTTCGAGTAACGTTTCGATTGACACGATGCGGGGCTCTAATAAATAAACTCTCTAAAATTTACCTGCAAACGCAGTGCGCGCGCCTGATTGCGCTCCTCGGAGGTCATGTCGTTTTTGCGATGATTTTTGCGCCTGCGATGATCCTCGCCCTTGGCGCCCGTTGTTGTGTGGCCCGCGTCATCACCCGCAGCTGTCCCACTGCTCGAGAACTTGTTGTTGTGCTTTTGCATGCAGCTCGAGGCGGCTGTGTGATGGCTCGATGCGGCGCCCTCCTTTTTGCCCTTGCTCATGCTGTGCTTTTGGCAATAGGAGCGCAGCTTGACACCGTCCTCGGCGTTGCCCTCCTCGATAATGGCGCGCATCTCGAGGCCATGCTGAAACGCACAGGTCACGTGATAGGCCGTCTTGCAGGTCTTCACCGAGCACTGGATGCAGCTGCCGACGCGCTCGCGGCACAGCACACAGATTAGTGCCCAGCGACTTTGCGGAATGCTTGAGATTTTTGTTATTGGCTCCATGCGATCGACACATCCAATGCTCACTTCCGGTATCCACAGGGCGCACGAGACATGCGCCCAATGTTTGCCCGATTTATTGGACTTCATGGCGCCGCCCTTGTTCGGACAGAGTACACACTCCGGCTTGATGCCCATGGAGCAGGTGCGACAAAGCCATTGGCCTGCAAAAACAATTTGTTCAGTGAGCAATCGAATTGCATGGATATTGCGTAGCTGGATTACCTGATGGAATCGCTGTAATGCCGTAACAAGCCTGATGCACGCAGATGTTGCAATTATCACAGAATACCATTTCGTTGGCCTCCTCGGAGTCGGGCGAGCGACAAACATCACAGATGACGTTCTCATCAAACTCAATGCCCAGACCCTCCTCCTGCTTAAGTATGACCTGAATTTGCTCCCAACAGCGCACCTAGAACATATTATACGTTAGTTTTGCCTTCTGCTTGGCTTTTTATCTGATTTTAGCTAACCTCCAGCTCCTCAATGACGCGCTCGAACTGCGTTTCGTTAATGGGAAAGGCGCCGCAGAGGGCACGATCGCCATTGTACAGACGCAGCCAGGCCTCATCTATGGGATCAATGTCATAGGCACATGTGTTCTCCGCCAGAGCAACTACATTCGTCAGACAATGCAGGTCCGGCGAATAATGTTCGTCTTTGGTGATGCGCAGGAAACGATTTTTTGGACTGCAAAAGAGCAAGTTATATAAATATCCAATAATATACATTATATAGTTAAGCTATTATTAACTTTACTAAATCCTTCTTTAGGGGAAAAATGAGATATTAGAACAATAAGTTAGCCAAAGATTGCAAAAGGCTAAGGGCGGAATATGCCTGGAATAGAAGCTGGCATCTGAATGAGGGTTTGTCTCTCAAGCTCAAAGCAGCTCTTCTTCAGCAAGAGTATTGTTACCATGCTAAATTATTTTCCCTAATTTGACTATTATAAGATTACTTCGTGATATCTACTGAACGAACATCTACCTTTTACTAGAAATTATAGTTTTCTTTTCAGTTAAATTCAACCACTGAAGTATCTGAGTTTAAAGCTTGCCCATCTCAGATCTTTTTAACTAGAGTATTGATCCGCTTTCTCATTTCCCTTTACTTTGAGATATCTTTTAAACAAATATCTAGCTTAGCCGGAGTAGTCTTTTACTCCATTTTACGCTCTACTCACAGTTTAAAGTCATGCGCTGGCGACACAATCGGCTCGGACAGCACATAGACACACGGCTCGGGCAGCGAATCGGGATTGACGGGCACCTGTACGCCCTTCTCCCATTCCTGTTTCCATTGATCGGTAACAATCAGATACTCGTAGTTGGCCAACGGCTCTGAGTCTGGCAATTTCATTGCGCTAATGAGATCCTTGCTGTAAATTTTAAGAAAATTGCTAATAAGTTTCTAGAACAGGCTCGAATTGTGATTTATACGCACCGATAGAGTTCAGCTGGCGCTTCCGTTGAGCTGCGATTGTAGATGCTCGACATTTTGATATCGGCCACGGAGCGCGCTTGCCAGGTGCTGCTGCTGCTGCTGTTGTTGTTGTTATTGTTGCTGCTGTTGTTGTTGCTATTGTTGTTGCTTTGCGCTTTACATTTGCTGGCCGACTTGGCCTTGCCCGGCAGCTTTGACGCGGACTTGGCCTGGCCGTGTTCCGCTTGCTCCAGCGATGCAACTGTTGCTGCTGCTGCTGCTGCGGCTGCAACTGTTGTTGTTGCAGCTGCAACTGTTGCTGTTGCAGTTGTTGACGCTGCTGCTGCGGCTGCTGTTGCCGGCGCTCCATTAGGCGGTCGTCCTTTGCGTCGCTTTGTGGGCGGCGGCTGCGGCTCAACATCTTGACGCAGCTGCTGTTGCGGCGGTTGCTGCTGCTGCAGCTGCTGCTGATTACCGCGTTTACCTCTTTGTGACATTTTTCATTGGTGTTGCGTTTTGTGTGTTCTTTAACTTTGTGTATATATATGTGTGTGTTGTTGTTGTTGTTGTGGTTGTTGTTGTTGTTGTTGTTGATGGTTTTGCCTACTGGAACCTGCTGCTGAGAGGTTCACCTAGACCGCACGCGTTTGCTGCTCGACAGTGCCAAGTGCGACCTGTAGAGGGTTAAGGTGAGGGTGTGGGTAGGAGGGTAGGTATATTAATAAATGTTTTAAATTGTTGCATCAATTTCTTACTACATGCTTAAGGCCACAATTGGCGACACCACAACCACACCGCCGGCTGTTGTTGCTGCTGCTGCTTGTTGTTGTTGTTATAAATTGTATTGTTATTATTGTTGCTGCTGTTGTTGTTGGTATGCTTGTTGTTGTTGTTGTTGTTGTTGTGCTGCTGCTGCTGCCGCCCGTTTAACATGGACGCCGCTGCCGCTGCACCAGCACTAATCCCGAGTAGCGCCGCCACTTTGCAGTCTGTGCCGTGCACTGCTCGGAGCAATAATGCGCGCTGCCGCTCCCCCTCCCCGCGTTTGTTTTCGCTGTGTTTCGTCTGTTTTTTGCGTTCTTCTTCGTCGTCGCGCCTTCACTTGCGTATTTTTGTTATTGCAACGCACCTTGTGTGTGTGTTTGTTTAAAGTTTTCTGCTCACTGCGCGTCTAAATGGAGATCAGTTCATAAAATTAACATTTTCAACTACCAATTTTCGTTTTGCAAACTTTTTTGTTGTACATTTTCTATGCGCTTTTCGTCACAAAAAATACACAAAAAAGAGAAAAAGGAAAAAAAAAACTGAAACTGCCAGTGCAAAGGAAAAGAGCAAAATGAGTTTGCTTAACAAAAGCTGAACGCTTTGCAACGCAAACATTAAATGCCATCCCAAAATCCATCTATCTCGCACGCTCGTTTTAAGGGCGCGCGCATTTACGGCATTGGTGCGAGCGAGATAGTGTTGGCGTGCGTGCTGCAGCCGTCAGCTTTTGTGCAAACGTCTCTTCCGCTCCTCAGCGCACTGCTGCCCCCCCCTCTTTCATACACACACATTCGATTCGACGTTTTTGCACCTATTTTTTTTTCTTACTTTTTATTGTAGTAATATTATTTGTTTTTGGAAATTGCACATTTTTTGAATATATTTCAAATGATGCCCGTGCCCGCTAGTTGGCATTGTCGCCACATTTGTTGCTTTGTTTGCCTGTTTTGGTTGTCGCGTTCGAGCGAATTTTGATTGAGATATATTACTCTCTGGGCTTTGCTTTTGCCGCCGCAGACACACACGCGAGCACTTGCTAGTGGTTAAAATGGACGTAGCAAACAAATTGCACGTTGCGTTTATTATGCACTCGCGTTTCGCGCAATTGGCATAATGTTTGCGACAAATATGCAATTTTTTTACGGATTATTTACAAGATTTTCTTCTCGGTTTCCTTTTCTACGTCTGCCATTTTGCTTTTCGGCTTATCGATTATTAGAGCTGTACCGGAATCGATTATCGATAGCGGCACCAGTCATTGCTAGTTCCCAATTTTAAATTATCGAAACCAGTTGCAGTCTTTGGCTCCGGGAACCGATATTGCTAGCAATCACTACGCACCCATATTTAATTAATAATATTTCGTTAGAGAAAAGCTAGTCTATGCGTGAAAAATCAACGAATTTTCATATTTGTGCGTGCGTTATGTATTGTTGTCAGTAAGGCCGCCTGTCGGGCGGCTCATGGGAATAAAAGTGGAGCTCCGATGTCCGCGCCGATGACACTCAGAATTGGTTATCGAATGTGAGTCAACCACCAACAAAAAGCAGCAAAGGAAGAGAATACAGAAGCGCAAAAAAACAGTTCGCACAAAAGGTTTTTTTTACATCATAAAATAATGTAAGGAGACAAAAAAAATAGTAATTGCGACTTATAGATTTAACAAACGATAAGCTTATAGAGAAGCCCGTCGACACACACGCAGCCTGGCATTTAAGAACAGCGCCAAATGCAAATGCATTTCTTTGTCTGCAGTTTGCTAGAATAATCTAAGTTCCGAGTGATTTTTTGAAAACGAGTGCACGACGCAGTGCCAGCCAAATAAATTCCGAAAAATGTCAACAACTCCAAATTCGAATAGTAGTGGTAGCAACAACAGCAACAACAACAATAGCAACAGTAATAAGCAAAAGCAACAACAGCAACAACAACAACAACACGACACATACAGCGACAGCAGCAGCATCGAGGAGAATCTTGAGGCTGCCGAGGAGCGCAGACGGCGCATTCTAAAGAATCGCAGTCGCAGCAGCACCTACATGCAACGGCAGCAGCAGCAGCAGCACAGCGCCATGAGCGTCAGCAGCGGCGCCATCTCCAAGCATGACAAATCCATGACGCCCACCACGAGCAGCGCTGCCGCTGCCGCTGCCGCAGCTGCAGCGGCTGCTGCTGCTGCTGCGCGTCTGGGTCCGCCCGAGCGCATTTGCATGCTGGTGGACGGCGTGCGTTTTACCGTCGAGCAAACACTGCTCACAGCCCATCCGAATACCATGCTGGGGACCATGTTCGGCACCGGGTTTCAGTGTGTGCATCCGAATGAGCGCGGCGAATACGAACTGGCCGATGGCATCTCCCATTTGGTGTTTCGCTCCATACTCGAATACTACAAGAGCGGTGTTATACGCTGCCCGCCAACCGTATCGGTGCCGGAGCTGAAGGAGGCCTGCGACTATCTGCTGATACCCTTCGACGCGACCACTGTGCGCTGCCAGAATCTAAGTGAGTATTACAGATTGCGGGAGCGTCTCTCAGTAGAGACCTGCATCGAGTCAACCGAGACGTCTTTCGGTATTCCCCGTGTTCGATATTCGGTTCTGTCGAACTTGAACACAAAAAGTTGGCTCGAACATGTTGCTGTCGGTTCGATTGAGTGTCCGAGTTTGATGTAAATGATTTAACCGATGCAGGGCTCTATCTCTTAGTCAAGTGCCGTCTACTTTGCTCTCCTCTCCCTCTCGTTTGTCTTTACCACCCCCTCTGCCATGCTGACACACACACACGCCTCTGTTTCTCACAAAGGAGGCCTGCTCCATGAGCTGAGCAACGAGGGTGCCCGCCAACAGTTCGAGGTCTTTCTGGAGGATCTGATATTGCCGCTCATGGTCGCCTCAGCGCAGCGCGGCGATCGCGAATGCCATGTCGTTGTGCTGCTCGACGACGACATGGTCGACTGGGATGAAGAGTTCCCCCCGCAAATGGGCGAGGAGTATTGCCAGAGTAGGTCATGATTACTATTATACATCATTGTACATCTTCTAAGTGCCTTAATCTCACATTTGCTGCAGCTGTGCATAGCACGGCGATGCATCGTTTCTTCAAGTACATTGAGAATCGCGATGTGGCCAAGCAGGTGATGAAGGATCGTGGTCTGAAGAAGATACGCTGCGGCATAGAGGGCTATCCCACACACAAGGAGAAGATACGCCGCAGGCCCGGCGGCCGTGCTGAGGTCATTTACAGCTATGTTCAGCGTCCGTTCATACATATGTCCTGGGAGAAGGAGGAGGCCAAGAGTCGTCATGTCGATTTCCAGTGTGTCAAGTCCAAGTCTGTTACGAATCTCGCCGAGGCGAATGCCGATCCGCCGCTCGAATTAGATGCAAGTGCGTATACTCCAACTGCTCCTGTGCCTGATTTTTTTTTTTTTTAACTGTTCTCCTGCTACTTTCAGGTGGCAATCCCATACCACCGCCCGCCGTAGCCGTGGTCAATGCTCAAGCACACAATGTTGATCTGGGTGCACCGGCCATGGGCATGGTTAACATTGGCGTTCCCGCCGACGTTGTGGCCGCCGTTGTTGCGGTCGATGAAGCCGCCGGCGGCGTCGTCATGTTAAACGAACTGGAGCTTGCGGCCGCAGCGGTTGCTGCGCCGGGCATTGTTGATGAACATGTGTAGAGATCGCCCCAAGGGCTGGATATATACACTGCCATCTCCTTAGCTGCACGCACCCAGAATAACGCTTTGTACGTTTTAAATCCAAAATTTTGTATACACTATCAAAAATAAAACACAAACCTAAATATACCCTACCAAGGAAATAGCTTCGGGTTGTTTAAAAGTTAGGAATGTGAAACGCAAAAGTAATAAATGTAGGGTATCTGCTATGCGAGCACACGTAACTTACCAGCATGGAGTTGTCCGGAAATTCACGCCTGTTCCAATTATTAAACAAATGAAAACAAATTTTATTTCATTAAAAATATATTGCCATGGCTTTGCGATTGGGAACTGCGCCCCATTTTAGGCACCATCAAAGGATTCGCGCTCGCCTTGGGCCAGTGTGGACGTCTCCCAGTTCAGGGAACGCTCAATGGCCATTTTCCATTTCTGGTAGCGTAAATTACGCTCCGTGGAATTTATTTTCGGCTTGACGGCCTCGCGCTCCTCCGACTTGGAGAGTGGCCCCTCCATGTTGTACTGCGGCGCCACCGTCTTGTAGGCGGCCATAGCAGCGCCCTGGAACAGATAGAAATATGAATTAAAAGTGTATTAAGATGGGATTCTAGAACTGCATCGGTTAGGATACTTCCGTGTCCGAATAAACTATTCACGAAACAAAGTTACAGCTATTCGAGTAAGCAACATGTTCGATGCAACGTGTTTGAGGCAAACATGTGCGGTCGAACATGATTGAAGCTACTCGAACAGCTCGTTACGAGTATCCGAAATGGCTTTTGTTTGACATGGACTCGTTTTTCTTAGTTTAACCTACCAGCGCTGTGGTCTCTGCAATCTTGGCGCGCAGCACATGAATGCCGACGAGATCGGACTGCAGCTGCAGGAACAGATTGTTGACGGTCATGCCGCCATCGACCATCAGCTTGGCCAGCGGAATTTTGCAGTCCTTGTGCATGGAGTCGAGTATGTCTCGCACTTGGAAGCAAACCGCCTCCAGCGTAGCGCGGACAATATGCTCACTGGTCGTCTCCTCGCTGAGGCCGCAGAGCACGCCGCGTGCATCCTGATTCCAGTAGGGCGCATACAGCCCATTGAATGCGGGCACAAAGTACACATCCAACGAGCTGTCCACCTGGCTGGCCATGGACTCAATCTGGGCCGTATTCTGAATGAGTCCAATGTTGTCGCGCAGCCAATTGAAGGCGGCACCAGCTATAGAGACGCTGCCTTCCAGCGCATAGTAGGGCGTCGCCTTGCGTCCCAGCTGATAGCCCACGGTGGTCAGCAGGCCGTGCTGTGAGTGCACTATGGATGGGCCCGTATTGTAGAGCAAAAAGCAGCCGGTGCCGTATGTGGCTTTGGCCTGGCCCTTGACCAGACACTGCTGACCCACCAGCGCCGCCTGCTGATCACCCAGATCCGCCGTAATGCTGATGCCCCGCAGCACGCCGCCCGCAATCGTGCCAAAGTGCTCGGCGCTCGAGCAGATCTCCGGCAGTATGCTATTGGGCAGGCCAAAGAACTTTAACAGATTGGCATCCCATTGCAGCGTCTCGATGTTCATAAGCATGGTGCGCGACGCATTTGTCACGTCCGTCTTGTGCACCCCGCCATTCACTCCACCCGTCAGATTGTACATCAGCCAGGTGTCGATGGTGCCAAACATGGCGTCGCCCGCGTCCATGGCCCTGCGCACCGTGGCCACATTGTCGCGCAGCCAGCGCAGCTTTACGCCGGAGAAGTACGGCGATAGCGGCAAGCCGCACAGTGGCCGCAAATAGTTAATGTTCCGCGCATTGTTCGGTATCGTTTCTAGCAATTCCTCCACAGTGCTTGTGGTCCGATTGTCCAGCCAAATGATGGCATTGCCCAGCGCCTCGCCCGTGTGGCGATCCCAGACCAAAGTGGACTCACGCTGATTGGTAATGCCAATAGCCAAAATGTCCTGAGAATTTGGGCAAAAAAATTGTTTAATTATTTGTAGTAATGAAACGTATAGCTTATTGGTTGAAACACTTTCGACCATTTAAATTTTAAATTTTAGCTAAAATGTGCTGAGAATTAATGAAAATAAATTTAAAAAAAAATGTTAATTTAACTAGAAGGGAAATTTTAGAGCCTTTAAATTTTAGAACACATTTTATCTTTCTGCGGCCTCTCAAGTATTTAATCGACGAAAAAAAACAGCTCTTGTTAACATTGTTCATTAAAACTTGCAGTTTGAATAAAAGCGTTTTGGCGCGCTGTTAAAAGCTCGCGTTAATTTCGCCACATTTGCGCGGCTTGGCAACACTGGTCGGCCAGCACAGAAACAGTAAACAAAAAATATATGTAAAGAAAAACCTGCTGATAAGGAAATAACAAAAGAAAAATATTGAGAGGCAAGCAAAGCGACGTAACAATTATTTTTTACTGTAGCCGGATATTTAATTAAGGTTGTGCCGTTCGCCCCAATGTCAAACACAGTTAAAATTCTCAGTCGAACAGTTGCCCAAATCATATTCAGCCGTAACAAACAGCAGCTGCGCATTATGTCAGGTGTGCCAGGTGCCGGCGGCGCCGCCGCTGTTGTGGCCGTTGGCCAGATGCGAGCAACCAATGACAAGGCATGCAATTTGCGGCAGGTGGAGGAGCTGGTGGCACGTGCCGCCGCCTCAAAGGCCAAGATGCTATTTCTGCCCGAGTGCTGTGATTTTGTGGGCGAGAATCGCGGCGAGACGCTGCAGCTGGCGGAGCCTCTGACTGGGGAGCTGATGCGCAAGTACCAGGAGCTGGCCAAATGCCATCAGATGTGGCTGTCGCTGGGCGGTGTGCACGAACTGAAGACGGACTCAGACGCGGAGAAGGCGAGAATATACAATGCCCATGTCCTGGTCAATGATCGGGGCGAACTGGCGGCCGTCTATCGCAAGCTGCATCTGTTCGATGCAACCACCAAGGAGATACGTTTGCGTGAATCGGATACGGTGGCGCCGGGTGAACGGCTGGAGAAGCCCGTGTCAACGCCCGCCGGCCAGGTGGGCCTGCAGATCTGCTATGATCTGCGCTTTGCAGAGCCGGCGCTGCTGCTGCGAAAACAGGGCGCCCAGCTATTGACCTATCCGGCGGCCTTTACCTATGCCACGGGCAAGGCACACTGGGAGATTCTGCTGCGGGCGCGCGCCATCGAGACGCAGTGCTTTGTGGTGGCCGCCGCCCAGCAGGGCTGGCACAACAAGAAGCGTCAGAGCTGGGGCCACAGCATGATCATCAGTCCCTGGGGCAATGTGCTGGCCGACTGCGGCGGCGACCAGGAACTGGCCGTAGCCACAGCCGAGCTGGATCTGTGTCAGCTGGAGCAGCTCTATCAGAGCATGCCCTGCTTTGAGCATCGACGCAACGACATCTACAGCCTGACGGGCTTCAAGCTGAGCGCTCCGGACTACAAGCTGTGTGCGCCGAGCACACAGGCTGGACAGGATCGACCCTTTGCGGCGAACATCGTGGACAAGCGCACCATATTCTTCGAGTCCGAGCACTGTTATGCCTTCACCAATTTGCGCTGCGTCGTCGAGGGCCACGTTCTCGTCTCCACGAAGCGTGTGACGCCGCGCCTCAATGGACTCAACTGTGCCGAGATCACGGATCTGTTTGCCACCGTGTGCATGGTGCAGCGCATGCTGGAGCACATCTATGGCACCACCTCCGCCACGGTCACCGTCCAGGATGGCGCCAATGCCGGCCAGACGGTCCCTCACGTTCACTTCCATGTCATGCCGCGGCGCAATGGCGACTTTGGCCACAACGATCAGATCTATGTGAAGCTGGACGATCGCGCCGAAAATCTGCCGCCGCGCACGCTCCAGGAACGCATTGACGAGGCACAAAAGTACCGCGACTATCTACACGCCAGCGCCAGTTAACCAGCTGCAACCGATATCCAAAACCACACTGTGTCCTTGTGCTTGTCATTAAAGTTCGGTTTTTAAAACTAGCAAGACTTTTTATATACTTCCCATAGCTCTGGATGTGGATCCCCCCTCCCCCCTTTTTTTTTTCAATAGGGCCCGAGCCCGTCGCTCACCTCAATTTTGCCGCCCAGCGCGACGAGCTTTTGGCAGGCGCCTTCGATGCACTCGTTGACAGTGTTGGTAATGACGCGCGGATCCTGCTCGCACCAGCCCTCCTTGACGTAAATGGAGGGCACCTCGATCTGATGGTAGCAGACGATGTCATCGGTGCCCGCACGGAATATCATAAAGCGCGCCGAGGTCGTGCCCTCATCAATGGCGCCAATAAATGGCCCCGCCATGTTTCCCTCGCCGGTTTCCATTTGCAGACTTTGTTTGTGTGGGGGTTACGTATGCACTAACACTCAGGTAAACACGCAAATTAATGTAAATTCCGTTGCGCTTTGCCACTAAAACTGGTGTTCGATTCTCGCCGACATATTTGTCGGACTCGATTACGATAAGAGATAAGGTCCAGCCCCTTTGTTGGGAAAGCTTTTTGGGTGTACTCTGTCCCCGATACTTATTAAAACCCGTTTTGCAAAACGTAAATATTTATTGCGAATGAGTGTGTGCAAGCGAAACGGCAATAACGGCGTTTATGCGGCAACAAATACGTGATTTATGCCGGCAACAAAATGTGGCATGTATTTTTTTATGAATAAAATGTATAATATTAATTGTATTTAAAAGCGTGCAATATCAAATTGAATATAATTGAATTTGTTTAGGAAACGCAGTGAGCGCATTTTCCAGCACTGCCAGCCAGTGTGCGCACAACATTAAAACTAGGTATTTTTTTGGTTATCATTTACGGTCACACTGTAAACGCTGTTCTTACACCTGGTCAGCTAAATGTTTGCAATTTATTTGTTTGCATATTTTAAATGCAGACACAAAGCATGTCCATATCGGAGCAGCATCGCATTGGGCTGCGCGATCTCCTGATTAACGAAACGAACACGCCGGTGTTGCTGCAGCTGGCCAGAAGCGTCACAAAAAATGTGTGCAGCATCGAAGAGCCCGAAGGTAAGCAAAATGACGCAAAACAATAAAAACAAACCCAACGAGATTTCTGCCTGCAGAGGCGCTCGACTACCTGACGGCCCACACGGAGGACATACACAAGCTGATGTATAAACGACATATTACAAGGGACCTGCTGTTCAAATACCTGCATAAACGCCAGCCCGGCACCTATACAGACTTCACCAAAGCGGATCTGGTCATGCGTGTGATAAATTATTGGGATCAACAGCTGAACGCGGGCACCATGCAAGTCCAGAGCTCAGCAATCGTGGACACATATTGTCCGACCCAGCCGTGCAGGGAAGAGGAATTCCCCATACATTTGATAGCGCGCAAATTTGGCGAATGGTTCTTCGACAAATACAACTCCGACCAGCTGAAGCTGACCGATTTGTGGAGCGATGCAGCGCTGCAGCTGGAGGTCATTGCGGATGACGGCACCAGCGAGATGCAGTGCGCCAGCGCTGAGCAGGTGCTGTTAGCGTTAATTAGCGCTAAGCAACAGTTTGGCTTCTACTTTAATCCCAATTTAACGCATTCGGGCGTGCAGGGACGCATCGACAACTTTGGCCAGGTCGTGGTGCTCTGCTGTGGAACACTGCACACCGCCGACAGATCTGTTGGCGTCTTTGAATGCGTCTTTGGTCTGTTGCGCGATCCGCACGCAAACAACAACTGGAAGCCCAAAAAATTCAAGTGTTTGCTGCGCAGCGAACTCCGCCCCCCACGGCTGCACACCCTCACTGCCAGCGAGACGCTGCAGACGGCTCTGACGCTGCCCACGACCAGCGACACACTGGACTAGCCATCGGTGGCAGGCTAAGTCTTCAAAGTATCTGACTATATTTAATTTTTAGAACACATATATATATATATTTATATAACTAGTCTGTTAAAGCAAGCATAAAGAAATCAATTCTTTTGAAAGCTTGTTTAAATTTCTGTTGTAAATGAAATTTTAATGTTCGACTTAACAAACTTTACTTTGGGATTGTAAAATGATATCACAATAAACTGCCTTGATTAAGCCCACGGCTAGGAATTCTTTGAAATTAAACAAAATCAGACGCAAGGATTTTAGACCTCTGTAGACATACGAAAACTTATATTGATTTCTATCAGAATCTATTCACTGTTCGTTTCTATGAAAACTATATAATATAGATATCCAATTTCTATGAGAAAAATGAAGTTGAACTAATAATGGGCGGGGGTTTGGAAAGGTTATTTTCTAGCAATATGGAAGGGCCAAAATTGTCTGTCTTCCGACCTTGTAAGAATTCTTAAGCAGACTTTTGCGAAGCTATCTTAAACCTTAGCCACATAAAAACAGAAAAACGACATTCTTCCTATATATCTGAAATATTTGTTGGCTGGCTCGAGAACCTTCTCATGGATGTTGCTTATATGTGTGAAACATTTTAGAACTCGGATATGTCAAGTTGTTCAGGAAAACTTGGAAAACAAAAAGCTGTTTATATAAGAATTAAATATTTGACAGATCGAGGAAAAATCTGTGATATAAGTGTCTCGTATTAATAATATGTAGCTTATATGGAAACATAATAAAAAAATGTATGAAAGTCAAAATACTTTGAAAAACAAAAAAAGATTTTTATACAAGAACTAAGTTTTCGACCTAGTATTCAGAATAGAATCATATTCTGATTCTGATTTATCTATTAACTATTTGTAAGTGTTCCACTTCATCAAGATATCTTTACAGCCAAAGAAAGACCAAATCTCTTAAGATTATATCTATGAAATCTGTATGATATTCATTTGTGGAAGCTATATGAGATAGCTAGGAATGGAATAACACTTGAAAGGGCTGAGTTCAGTGAGGATGTCTTTAAAGACTAAGTTTTTCATGCAAAAACTGTTGTTCCAATGGAAGCAATATGATATATGATATGAGGAGTGAACCGAACCATCCAGCTCTTAACTTATGTCTAACTTATAAGAGAACTACTGAGACTTGTTTACTTTGAAAGACGGACGGATCAGACCTGGAATATACCCAACAAACTTATGGATGGGCTCAAAAATCAAAACTAAACTACCTTAATGACCAACTCCTCTAAAAAAAATTAGAAATTTTTTCTACGCTTGGCAGTCTTATCAGTGTTCATTTAAGGAAATATTAAACCTTTTGCTTACGTTACCTGTTACTTGTTCCAAGAGGGGATCCGCGCTCCCGTTTTTACCTGTGGATAGAAAAACACACGAGAGAGAATGTTTCTCAGTAAAACACGCGATTTTCAAGGATCTAACAACTTACGCCCGGACGTGGAATTGTGTCAGTTTCAACAGACGCGCAGTTTCCACATTTTGTGGGCACTTTCGGCCGAGTTTGCTGCAAGTTCAGAAAAAACAACAGCATTAAACGAAGGCTTTAAGACAAACCATAATGTGTTTTTTTTTTTTAAAAAGGGTGAAAAAAAATAATAGCAAGCTGACCCGGTGTTATAATTGGTTTAAAAACTGATTTTGAGCCCAAAAATAAATTATTACCAGTTGCGCTGCTCGCGGCTCCACATTACTTTTATAGACGTTTGCTAGAAACGTGATTATTGGCTGAGCAGGTCCACTGAAATGGTATCAAATATTAATAATAGTTTGTGAAAAGAGGCGAATGCAACTAGTAGTTATATATACTATATAATTGCGCGCGTGTGTGTGTGTGTGTGTGTGTGTGTGTGTGTAGTGAGAAAAGAATTGGTATATGGTGGGTGTTTTTGTAGTTTTACATAGTACATGCATATACATATATATCTATATTAGGAATTACTTAGATCTATCGAAAAAGTCGTAAGCACGCACACACATAACAATTCGACCGTTTCACAAAGCGCGTACAACAAAAAACCACAAAACTTATGTACATTTGCTTATAAAGTATTTGCATATATATAAATATATATATTTTATTTATATATATATATTTATATATTGTATGTAGAAAGATAGAAGCTGTATTCTATTTAATAGATGTGTGTTGTCTGGGGGTGAGTGGTCGTCTTTGAAGTTCGGTAATGATAATAATAATAACTCGAATAACTCGCTTTAACTAACATCGCTAACGTAATTGCTTAGTCTAGAAATTATTGAATTACGTTTATTCTCTCTCTCTCGGATCTACATTTTCTCCTGTATAAACGGATGCATAAGCGCCTGATTCAGCGATATACGCTTGCCTGGATCCAGTGCAAACATATTCTCCAGCAGATCCTTTAGCTGCGTAACCTTGCGATGCTGATCATCGGGCAAATTCTGATCGGCAATCAGCTCCTGCTGCAAATTGCGCGTTGGCTTCACCACGGGCATCACAACGATTTTCTCCTGCAAAGGTAACAGAAATGATATCAGTATGAAAGTTTAAGATAGAGCCCTGTATGCAGACGCGTCACTTACCCGCTCGGTTAGCTTGTCTATCTCGTGGTAGAGAAAATTGCAGCTTTGGTCGAAATGCTGTTCCCTGAACTGACCCTTGCGTACAATTCGATTGGGTATTTTGCCTTTGACATCCATGAAGAACTTGAGCATTTGATTATTGCTTTTGCCACTAAACAATATCTTGCCCGTGTACAGCTCGTAGATGGTGCAGCCGGCCGACCAGGTATCAATGCCATAATCATAGGGTATGCCCAATATGATTTCGGGCGCACGATAGAAACGTGAAACCAGATAAGGCGTTATTTCGTTCTCACTTATGCCCGAAGCGGACCCGAAATCGCACAGTTTCAAGATAAGATTATTCTCATTGACCAGAATATTGTCGGGCTTGATGTCCGCATGCAGTATGCCAGTCTTCTTCAGCAGTTTGAGCGCCAGGAACAATTGCTGGGTATAACTGCGCACCGCCTTGATGTGCAGGCCCACGTTTTTGCCATATTTCTTGAGCACCTCACGCAGATTCATAGCCAGCGGCTCAAACACCATGCACAGATGCTACAACGCGGGAGTTGAAATAGTTTTTTTTTTAAATAAATTAATGTTAATATTTTTAGGCAGTTGAAAAACTCACCTGCTTGTGGAAGAAGTGCCGATACAAACGCAGACAATGAAAACGATCATCGGGATCGGCATCGTTGAGCTTCTTCAGGATTTCCAGCTCGCGCAGACCCGTTTTGTGCCTGTTTTAGGATATTAAATATAAATATAAGGACTCAATTTACAATACACAAGGAAATTTAAGAAAATCTTCTAAGTGGAAATTTTTAAAAACCTTTTTAAGAGTCTTTTAAATTATGCCCAGGCAAAGCTGAGTTTCGCACTTACATGATCTCATTGTTGCGTATAATCTTGATGGCCACGTTGGCGGCGCCGCGCGCTTGATCGCGGCCACGCACCACATTGCTGAACACACCCTGTCCGGTGTAGCCGCTGACTAGGTAGCGATTGTCCAAGACCTCGCCGATGCGCACGCGATAATAGCCCTCGGCATCGTCCCAATTGTCTGTCAGCGCCGGATTCTCAATTTGATGCTTGTTGTGCACAATTGTGCTGGGTGACTAGATGGATTCAAAGAAAGCGAGAGTTGGGGATGCATTAGAAACTTAAGCGAGCAAAATATATTGTGACATTTACGAGCTTGCGACTCACATCGAAATTGGAATCGACGTCCTGATCGGCAAACATGTCCCACTCGTTGCGTTTCTCCTTAACTGTGCTGTTCTTGGACGAATTCGCATCAAAGGGCTCCGTCTTGCCATGTGCATCCCGTTGCTCTTCCTCCTTATCTTGCAGCGTAGGCGTGGGCGTGCGCTGTGCTCGCTCCGGTTTGGAGGAAACGGGTGAAGTGCTTCTGGACTCGTACGAATTGGATTTGCGTGGCGTTGGGCTGGCCGTGCGCGACTCCTGATCATTGGTGCCCAATTTCTGTTCAGAAACGATAAGAAATTTGTAGTTGGAACTCAAGTTTATATAAGCTGGCATTATACATCAATGTTTCACCCAATCTGATCTTCAAGCAGTCACCCAAGACAATATATATATATGTATATATATGGGTATATGTGTCGTTACCTTGAGCAGCTCCTCGCGCTGTTTGCGACGCAGCTCAATGATGCGCTCCTCGTCATCCTCATCCTCGTTGATGTCTATGTCCAGGCTAGCTTCCTCGTCGCTGCTCTCCTTTTCGTGTATTTTTTGGCCTTCGCTCAGCGAGCCTTTGTAGCGATCGCGATCCGCGCCAAAGCCATTGCCGGAGCCTCGTCCGCCGCGTCCGGTGCCGCCACTACCACGATCCTGTTCCTGTTGACGTTCGCGTTCACGTCTGCGGTCCGACTCAACCTTACTGCGACTGTGCGAGCGTGGCCGATTCCAGCGTTCACGATCTCGTTGGTCGCGCTCACGCGGCCGACCGCCGGCACGCTCCGCGGGCTGTCGGCTGTCCCTGTCCGGACGTCGATCGTGATCACGACTCTGTTCGCGCCGCTCGCGCTGCTTGTCGCGATTGATCTCCTGGCGCAGATCCTCCATGTTCCTATTGTACTCCTGATGGTGGCGTCTCTGGTTATGGTGCTGCTGCTGTGGCTGCTGTTGCTCTATGCGACGGCGCGGCGTGCGACTGCGTTGATCGCGGGGCGCACGATCGCGGGAGCGTCGATCGCGTGAGCGTCCCGCTGCCAGCGATGCGTCTTCACGTGTGCGACTTCTCTGCGGGCGGGTGGGCGATGCGTGACGTCGTCGCTTCTCCGGCGTGGGCGAGGGCGTGCGCTGACCACCGCTAGAATCATCCAATAATATAACATCGGGTTCGTTTGAGTTATTGATGTTAGACTGTTTATTATTAACATGTTTACTAGTTGCAGTTGCCAGCGACGCTGCAGACTGCGAGCTCGGCCTGCCCTGCGGCACCTCAATAGCTGCTATAATGGCCTGCTGCTGCTGTTGCTGCAGTTCGTCACGCCTGCGCTTAGCCAGCACCGAATTGGAGCGACTCTCGTCGCCCTCCGTGTCTGACATGTAGGCGCCCAGACGCGCCTGTAGCAGCGCCTTTTGCTTCATGAGTTCCTCCAAATTGAGCTCATCCTCGAGCTTGGCCGGCAACACAGGACTGGCAATGTCAATGGGGCTGGAATTAAATAACACTGATTATTATCCTCTATTGTAATTCATGGAACGAAACATCTTTGAGCTCCTAAGGTCTTTTTCTTGAACAGTTCGGATCATGGCCGTCTGTCTGTTTCTTTGCAAACGAAATGGTCAGGAATGATCGGTCGGATATGTGATAAATATATGATTCATATCTCATGAACATCGGACTATATAACAGAGCTCTACAGGAATAATTGGTCAACAAGTCATTAAGATAACCTTAAGCCAAACTTCCACAAGGGTATTTAAGCTTCGGCGTGCCGAAGACAGATGTTCTATTGGGGGTTTTTTTGTCATTTAATACATACACTTCACTCTCGCTACCCGAGGTGGCCACCTCCAGCACGGGCAGCACCTTGTTCTGTATGGTTTTGGTTATCTCCTCAACCAGGCTGCACGGATCCGTGTTGGGCTTAACGATGCGAAAGTCGGCGGAGCCGTTGGACGACAGTATGGCGCTGCGCTCCCGGCTGGCCGCCTGCATGATCTCGGTGAATTTGCTGCTAAGACTTTGGGCGCCAGCATTTGAGGATTCGCTTTGACGCTGATGGCGCTTCTTGGACTTCTTGTGCTTTTTGTGCACCTTCTCGCTGGAGCTGGTTTTTTTGTGTTTCTTATGCTTCTTGGACTTTTTGTGCTTGGCGCGGCGCTCCTCGGTCTCGCTGTTGTCGCTGGAGTCGTAACTGCTTGGAAGAACACACTAAAAATTAATATACATACACACACACGTATTGCACACGCATACACACGCACAGCACACAAACACATAACCTCACAAAGCTTTGCTTGCTAATTTGTTGTTTTGCCACCTACCTTTTGTCATCACTCGTCATTGTGTATAACTGTTGGTGCAAGAGACATGCACCAGTGGTTGTATTATTAAAAATTAAACTTTCGATTAGTCTTTGGTGCGCGTTTATACATTTGCATTCGAGTTGGTATCAAAACGTTTGGCTCAAGTTCGTCTGAGCGACGACTCTACTGAACAAATGAACTATGTGAACTAATTGTCGCTCATTGGAGCCACTGCTAAATGAGCAGACATTTAACAGCTGCTTACTGGCACTGTTAAGCATCCATTACAGCGAGGTAGCATAACATAACATAGTAACAGCACTGTTATCGATTATCTATGGTATTTACAGGCATATAAAGTCCTAATTTTATTTTTTTGATGAGGATAAATCAGCCATTGTTATTTTTATGGTAACTTTTGTTTAAACAACAGACAGAAATCACTAATTATGGAAAGGTTTCTTAGTTTAAATTGGGCGCCTACCTATTCGCCTGTTTTCATAACAGGAGCAGTGTTGCCACCGGCCAGTAAAAAAAGTAGCCGAATTCAATGTTAAGTAACAAAAAAGGCTAAAAGCCTAAAAATGTAGGTAAATAAGTGATAAATTTTACTTTTTACGGCTGACGACTGAAACATCGCTCAAAATTAGCTATAAAAAAGCTGTGGTGGCAACACTGCCTAAAGCAGCACGCCGGCAAGGCAATGATTGCAAAGTTTTCTCATTTGTGTTCGCTAAAGTTATTCCAACAACAATTGCGAGTAACTGCACTTTCGACTTGCTTACGTAGTATACGGCCGCACAGCACAGCCGTCGACATGGATAAAGTGTATCTGCGCCATGCACAAAATACGGAGGAGCTGCACATAACGTTTCGCTATTCCAACAAGGAGCTCAAGCTAGATCGCAGCTTTAACTTTTGCCGGCGCATGGACGAGCGTGTGGATGAGGCACTCAGCCGGATACGGCACAATGTCGAGAAGGAGCTGAGCAAACGCAGCAGGAAGAAGACCAAGGGCGCACCAGCTGTTGTCGAGCCTACGCCGCCTCCCAATCCGGATGAGATAATTGTGGCGCTACATCGGGACGGGTCCGAGGAAGGCATCCTGGGCATCACCTTTGCCGAGTTGTTATCGGACCTTGCAAATGTTCAACTCAAACTGCGCGTTTTGGACACCACATTCGATGTGGTGCTCAATGAGCCCTGGACCGGAGCACTCCAGTTGCCCAGCTCCATGATGGCCGGCTGCCTGGTTTATCCGCTGAAGCTAGAACTGCAGTTTGCCAGCCGGGCGCACAGTTCAGGTGAATGGTTCAAAGCAACAAAGCCCGCATCGGGAATCTTTAATGAGCAAACCAAGTGGGAGCCATGCGGTAAGGGTCTGATCTATCAAGTGGCGCCCGCGGATATAGGCTATCATTTAAAGCTGGTCGTGACGCCGGCAAATGAGAGTGGCCACTCGGGTCCGGCGACGGAGTGCATTAGCAAATTGCCGGTTCAGCCGGGACCCGGCGCTTGTCCCTTCGAGCTGCGCCAGCAATATACACGCCAGCCACTGAGCGGAACCCACGAGATACGCGTGGTCAGCTACAATCTGCTGGCCGATCTCTATGCGGATGGGGATTACGCGCGCAAAACTCTGTTTCCCTACTGCGCGCCGTCTGCCCTGAAAATTGATTACCGCAAGCAGCTGTTCATCAAGGAGCTGGTTGGCTATAATGCGGACTTGCTGTGCCTGCAGGAGGTGGATCTCAAGATATTCGAGCACGATCTGCAGCACGTGCTGGAGCATACCTTTGCTGGCATTATGACGCCCAAGGGCGCCTGCGCCGAGGGCATTGCCCTGTTTTATCGCAAATCGCGCTTCCAGCTGCTCCACAACTATGTCCTGCACCTCGGCGACAACATCAGCACCTTGCCCATCTTCGCATCACTCTGGAATCGCATTAAACACAACGAGCAGCTGGCCAAGCGCATCTGCGACAGGTCCACCACATTGCAGCTGTGCCTGCTGCAGCTGCGCGAGACGGATCGCTATGTGCTGGTGGCCAATACACATCTTTACTTCCATCCGGATGCGGATCACATACGCTTGCTGCAGATCGGTTTCTCGCTCATCTTCGTGGAACACATGTACAGGCAGACCATAAAGGAACGCAATATAAGTTCGCAAAATATTGGACTCATATTCTGCGGCGACTTTAATAGCGTGCCCGAATGTGGCATCTATAAGCTGATGACCGAACAGTTTGTGGGCACCGATTTTGTAGACTGGCGCAGCAATGCGGAGGAGGCTGTCACCGATGTGGAGCTCCGGCAGCCTTTCATGATGAGCTCCGCTTGCGGCACGCCGCCGTACACCAATTATACGACGCTCTTTGCGGCCTGCTTGGATTATATATTCTATCAGAGCGATTGCTTGGAGCTGCTGCAGTCTGTGCCGCTGCCCACGGTGGAGGAGTTGAGCGCCAACGAGGCTATACCGTCCGTCACGTTTCCGTCGGATCACGTGGCTCTCGTGGCGGATCTCGCATTTAAATCAATCTGATTGTTTACTGTAAATAAATTGATTTTTTTTTATTGTTGTAAAGCTAATTTGTACTCCAACTCTAACTGGCCACGGCCACGTCCACGTCGTGCTCATCCTTTTCAATGCTCAGCTCCAGCACGGCATCCTCGTCGACAGACATGGTTATGGGTTCCTTGGAGCTCTCTGTTGAGGCCGAGTTCTCCTTCGGCTTGCCGCGATTGCTTTCAAATTTGTTGGTCACAACGTTGTTCAGTTCGTCGTCATCATCCTCGTCGCTGACCTCCATGATGCCATTATTGTCGATATTATCAACGGATGCGGCGTCGCTTTCGCTTGATGATGATGACGAGCCCGTGCTGTTCTCCTCCTCCAGTTGCTGCTCCAGCTCGTGTATGGTGTACATCAGTAGAGTGAAGTCGTTGCGACGCTTCTGGAACTTGAACTCCATCTTAAGCTTCTTCTGTGTCAGCTTGTCGATCTCCTTTTTGATGGTCTCGATTTGTTTCTCAGTGGCTTTGCGATCCGGCTGCTCCTCGATGAGCGAGGCGAGCAAATCGTATTCCATTTTATTTTTGCGCAATTCCTTAGCTATGATTAGCTCCTTCTTGCTCGCCTCGATCTCCTCCTTGGCCAATTCGATGCTCTCCTGATGCTTCTCCGCCAGCTTCGTGTAGTTCTCCTGCTCCTCCTGGATCATGCGCAGCGTTTGCACATTTTTCAAGGCGGCAAATTGACATTGTGCCAGCTGCGCCATTAGACGATCGAACATTATTTGACTAAAATTTGAAGCTTGTTAATGAGCATTAATTGTGGATTATTTGTAGGGCAGTCTACTTGGTCTCCGGGGAGTCGTTCTTGGAATTGGCCCATTTCAGGAACTGTTTTAAAAGCATGTTCAGTCTGCGATCTTCGCCCGTGCCATCGCCATCGATCAGCAGACGCTGTTTTATGATTTCCTCTGTGTAGATGAACTGTTAGAGCGCGTTTATAATATTTATAAATAAATAATTTACCGTCGTTCATCGCGGCGGCTTTTGTTTTTTATTTTAACTATGGCAAAAGACCGGCTGCTTTGCTCGCCTGCAGCTATGCTCAGTAAAAATATCGACTTCGAAATTTACCACACACTCACATGTTGAACCGATAGTTCTGAATTCACCACACACTCGCATGTTATCGAAAACATTTGCCGCATCTGCTCGGCGCTTATTAAACATTCTTGTTTCTATTTAATTTTTTGAGTGAATTACGCGAAATGACTGCTGTGCCGCCGCCCGCTAACATATCCACACTGATGCCACTGGGTAAGCACCAAAGAAAAACATCTATTTACAAGCATTTTAAACGTTTGACATGCGGCCGGCAGAACTGGTGGACAAATGCATCGGTTCCAGAATTCACATCATCATGAAGAACGACAAGGAAATGGTGGGCACCCTGCTGGGCTTTGATGATTTTGTCAACATGTTGCTGGACGATGTAACGGAATACGAGAACACGCCCGATGGACGACGCATCACAAAGCTAGATCAGATTCTGCTTAATGGCAACAACATTACAATGGTGAGTAGAAGATGATAACAGCTGGGATGGAGCTTTTTTGCTTATTTATATATGTATTATTTAATTACAGTTGGTGCCCGGTGGCGAGTTGGCTGAATAGCAATTTTATACATTTTCTACAATCTTAATAAATATGAATAAAATGAAAATGAAGCGTTTAATTGGTCACATTGATGCCAGTGCTGCCAATTTAACTATTTTAAAGCTATATCAGGTTACAGATCGTTCAGAGATCGACTGGCGGGAACAGTTGCTTATGTCAATTTATACATAGAAACCAAATTTAGCTGCATTGAATATAACATTCCGCTAACATTGTCAGCACTAAGTGAAACAGTGCTGCCAGACAAATGCTGTGCGTGTGTTTTGTGGAGGTGGCAGCTCCGCGCATGCGCTTTTGAACTGAGCGCGCGCGTTTTTTTTCTATTGCTTTTGCCATGCAACGCCGCGGCTGACAGTCAACATGTGCCATAAATAAGTACTAACGGTAATGTTCTAGCTGCATACACTCGCATGTCCGGTTGCTCTTTGCCACTCAGTACGGCAGCAAACTCGAACGGAAGTGGAACAAGCGAAGCGGAAACCCACACGACGGCCGCCGCCGCCGCACGAATCTGAAAAAAGTTTTCCAACAAAACAAAATAATAGGCAGCAGCAATTTGGTCAATGTTATGACTAATTGGAATTATAACGTGGACAGCGCTTAAAGCGAGCGCTTCGCCAATTCAATACCGTGTTAAGATATTCAGTTCATATAAAACGTTAAAGCAATTTTGTGCGATTTTTGTCGGTATCTGTTGTCGGGGGTCGCCTTCGCAGCCGCAGACACTGGCCAAAAGACTTGTCTGGGCAATATGATTGCGTGCAGAAATCAATAGATAAAAACATGAGCAGCAGCTGCCAGAGCATCGCCACGGCGGCCAGCAGCGCCGCCACAACAGCAGCCGCCGTCTCCATGTCCGTTTCGAATGCCACCTCGGTCGGTTCCCTCATAGCCGCCGCCTGCATGCAGCCCCAGCAGCATCTGCCGCACCAGCACCAGGCGCCGCCGGCAGCGTCTCACTATGTCAACGGCACTGGCAGCCTGGGTCGCCTTAAGTTTCATCACAAGAGTCTCGATGCCAGCGACGAGGAGCTCGAGTATGCGCAGGTATGTGGCCAGCACACATTAATTGAAAATGGGCGAGGTGAGGCAAAGTATCATCCACCCACTCGACGGCTGCTTATTGAGTCATAATGCGATGTCCTGCAGCGTGGGCTCAATTGAAATTGCCTTGTGGCGGGTGGTAGTTTGTTGCTGCTGGTTGCCCCCCACCCGTAACTCTCTATACACATATATATATACCCGCCAGTGTTGCCAAGGGTCGCAAAAAGCATCTCAATCCAAGTGTTAAAAGCACCTTAAGAAATGCTGAATTTCATTTTCGATACCAACAAAATAGCAAAATTACCTATAAGCAACCATATTTTGCTAGAAAAAGGCCGAACTTTAATTTCTGTACACAAAACAGTTTCTACTGCTCCGGCTGAAGACGTTTTCAAATAGCCAAATTTAGCTACATCATAGCTAAATTGGCAACACAAGTTGGGTAGTTGGGAATTCGTATATAGTCATGGGTCAAAATTTCCCATTCGCATATCTCGGCCAAAATTCAACTGATTTTAATAAGACTTGATTTTTTCTTCATGGTTTTATCTCTAGAATAATCTGGCATTTAAGTCTGACAACGTATTTTTTGGTCGAAATTCATGTCAAAATGTTACCTGTAGGATTGATATATCGATGATGGTCAAAATTTCCCATTCGCATAACTCGGCCAAAACTCAACGGATTTTCAAAAGGCTTGACTTTTTCTTCATGGTTTTATCTCTAGATTAATCTGGCATTTAAGTCTCACAACGTATTTTTTGGTCGAAATTCATGTTTAAATGTTACCTCTAAGATTGATATATCGATGAGGGTCGAAATTTCCCATTCGCATAACTCGGCCAAAATTCAACCGATTTTAATAAGACTTGACTTTTTCTTCATGGTTTTGCCTCTAGATTAATCTGGCATTTAAGTCTGACAATGTATTTTTTGGTCGAAATTCATGTCAAAATGTTACCTCTAGGATTGATATATCGATGAGGGTCAAAATTTCCCATTCCCATAACTCGGCCAAAACTCACCGGATTTTCAAAAGACTTGACTTTTTCTTCATGGTTTTGCCTCTAGATTAATCTGGCATTCAAGTCTGACAATGTATTTTTTAGTCGAAATTCATGTCAAAATGTTACCTCTAGGATTGATATATCGATGAGGGTCAAAATTTCCCATTCCCATAACTCGGCCAAAACTCACCGGATTTTCAAAAGACTTGACTTTTTCTTCATGGTTTTGCCTCTAGATTAATCTGGCATTTAAGTCTGACAACGTATTTTTTGGTCGAAATTCATGTCAAAATGCTATCTCTAGGATTGATATATCAAAATGTTACCTCTAAGATTGATATATCGATGAGGGTCGAAATTTGCCATTCGCACAACTCGGCCAAAATTCAACCGATTTTAATAAGACTTGACTTTTTCTTCATGGTTTTGCCTCTAGATTAATCTGGCATTCAAGTCTGACAATGTATTTTTTGGTCGAAATTCATGTCAAAATGTTACCTCTAGGATTGATATATCGATGAGGGTCAAAATTTCCCATTCCCATAACTCGGCCAAAACTCACCGGATTTTCAAAAGACGACTTTTTCTTCATGGTTTTGCCTCTAGATTAATCTGGCATTTAAGTCTGACAACGTATTTTTTGGTCGAAATTCATGTTTAAATGTTACCTCTAAGATTGATATATCGATGAGGGTCGAAATTTCCCATTCGCATAACTCGGCCAAAATTCAACCGATTTTAATAAGACTTGACTTTTTCTTCATGGTTTTATCTCTAGATTAATCTGGCATTTAAGTCTGACAACGTATTTTTTGGTCGAAATTCATGTTTAAATGTTACCTCTAGGATTGATATATCGATGATGGTCAAAATTTCCCATTCCCATAACTCGGCCAAAATTCAACCGATTTTAATAAGACTTGACTTTTTCTTCATGGTTTTGCCTCTAGATTAATCTGGCATTCAAGTCTGACAATGTATTTTTTAGTCGAAATTCATGTCAAAATTCTATCCCTAGGATTGAGATATTGAAAGGGTCAAAATTTCCCATTCCCATAACTCGGCCAAAACTCAACGGATTTTCAAAAGGCTTGGCTTTTTCTTCATGGTTTTCCCTCTAGATTAATCTGGCATTTAAGTCTGACAACGTATTTTTTGGTCGAAATTCATGTCAAAATGCTATCTCTAGGATTGATATATCAAAATGTTACCTCTAAGATTGATATATCGATGAGGGTCGAAATTTGCCATTCGCACAACTCGGCCAAAATTCAACCGATTTTAATAAGACTTGACTTTTTCTTCATGGTTTTGCCTCTAGATTAATCTGGCATTCAAGTCTGACAAT